TAAACTAAAGGGGTAGGGTCATTTTACTTTTTTTGTTTAAAAGTGCTTAGTTGGCACAATTTAGTTAAAAAGCATCATATTCCTCTTTGTTATAGGAGTTTAAAAATATATAGGTAAACTAGGGTCAACTTAGCACTTTTTGAGATAAATTTTTCTGATAAAAAATTAGTAAAACAAAACACTAAAATTTTGCTAAATTTTAGTTGTTTTATTAGGTATAACATGTAAAAATAATTTTGTGCAATAATTTATAAAATTAACATTCACATTTCAATAAATTGCAGTCTAAGACTGTTTCTACATACAACTATCACATTAGCACTGCTTATATATTGACATTTTTTCTTATATAATGCCAAAATGACTTTTATGTATCATTTATATTACATATAAATAATACATAAAAGATATTACATATATTTACATAACTTTTGCAATGAATTTATGCTATTCAAACATCTATTACATATCTTTTGCAATGAATTTACGCTATTCAAACTAGTATATTTCATGAACAACTCATGCTTTTAAATTAACTTTTTTTTAATGAATCGGAAATTTATTTGGTTTTCAATAAAAACTATTGAAAACTAATATTGATTTATGAGCAATGTCCACTGTTTGGCCTACTGTCATGTGTAAGCAATGGCCTTTTAGTTCAACAAACTTTTCAACATGTTTTCGAATACCATTTTTATATTTTGAACACATTTTCATGGTTTAAAGATCATATACTTTATTTCTTCATACATTATTTTAATGCAAAATTAATGAGATTTCCCAAGTTTGTTAAGTTGTGAAGTTTTCTGAACGTTGATTATTTTTAAAAAATTTTTAAAAATGGGTTGAACTTCTAGACCATTGAAGATTTGAACTTCTAGATCATTGAAGAATTTTTATCAAGACAATAATTTATATGAGATATGTTCCTGACCAAAAATGTAGCAAACATGTGATTCAGCTTAACTTGTTCCAAACAGGAGTTTGTGTTAACAATGTTGAAACCATGTTGGTGGTCCTTGGCTTATTTATATCTAACTTTTTGATTATTCAGTAGTGGTTGCTTGCTTGGTAAAAAAAAAAGTAAAATCAGATTGGATAAGAATTTTACAAAACACCTTATAAGTGACATTGCTCATAAAGTTATACTTGCACTATCTTTCACAGGGTATGTATCATATGTACAAAATAAAACACACAAAGTGTCATGCTGTCTAATATGCACATTCTTTCCAACAACCATTAAAGCAAATAAAGATTAAATTTTTCAAAATAGCAACCAAATCATACTGTATGTGTATTTTTCAAAAGTATTGAAATCATGCAAACTTGCCTTAAATCTAAATTTAAAACTAGTTAAAATCTCAAATTTTTTTGTATATTATAATATAACATAAAATAAGATATATAATAAAGTGTATGCTTATATATATATATATATATATATATATATATATATATATACACAGGGCGATGTATATATTATTATTATATATTACTACAATTATAGGAAAAAAATTGGGTGATGGTGCCCCTCCGTCGCAAAGCGATATAGCGGAAAATCAGCGTTTATTCATTAAAAAAAATAATATTTGCTGTAAAAAACATTAAAAAAAAAAGATCCTCAAATTTTAATTTGGGTGGCATCACTTACGATCGATCCTGTCAAAACAGTCTAGAATAGCCCCTTATATAAATATATATATATATATATATATATATATATATATATATATATATATATATATATATATATATATATATATATATATATATATATATATATATATATATATACTATTTGTATATATATATATATATCAGCGCTCGAAATAACAGCCGATCAACGATCAATGATCGGCTATTTTTAGGGAAATTTAGAAAAATTCAAGGGAAAATAAGCTGTTTTTGTCAAAAATTACATTTGATCGGCAAGTTTTGAAAAACTATTTCGAGCGCTGATATATATATATGTATATATATATATATATATATATATATATATATATATATATATATATATATATATATATATTTATATATATATGTATGTATGTATACATTGTTACCTAAAACAAGCACGAGTGTAATCAAACGCAACTTTAAAACCATCAGTTCTAAAATTAAATAAGTTTAGAAATCACAAACTACATTTACACTATTTAAACTTTTTTATACTAATATGCATTTATAATAATATACATATATAATAAAATACATTTATAACATTTTTTATTTATTTAATTTTGAGTATTTCACTATTTAAAACTATATACAAACATGACATTCTGTTATTTTATAGACCACTTTATATAAAATATTTTTCTGGTACCTGTATGTTGATACAATTTGATTTCTTCTTAAATCAATCAGTTTTAGTGAGTCATCTCGCGTGCAAGCCAAAAGATAATTCATATCTATATTTTTATAAAATTGTTGCTTGTATTGTGACCAAACATTTTAATAATAGAAAAAATTCAATTACTTAAATCAGACACAAGTGAATGTATTATACGTATTTATAGTTTATATTGTTTACTTGTGTAAATAAACATTTAGTATATTTTGTATATAGTTTATACATATATATGTATGTAATGATAACAACGAATATGAACGTAATATATGTATATATAGTTAATGTACGTATATATTATTTATTAGTGCAAATATATATTTAGTTTAACATATACAAACAAACACACACACACATATATATACATATCAATATTTTTGAAACATAGAGTAAGATGGGGTAATTTCGCCACTAATTCTTTTAGTTTAAATTACTTGAGATTTAAAAATGAAAGTCAAATTATTTATTTATTGTTAATACTATTTTTATAAACTTTACATACTTTAATTTTTTTTTTTAATAATTAGAAAATAATAACAGAAAAAATGGGGTGGCGAAATTACTCTAATAAAATCTAATTTGGGAAAGTTTTGCCACCTATGTTACAACATAAATTTTTTATTTTACATTATAAATCTTTAAAACACATTTACAATTAGCTAAATAAAAGAAATCCATCGATACCGATAGGTATTGGGGCATGCATCCTCCCTCTACCTTTTTTTTATAAAGAAATATAGGATATTTTGACATAGCTAAAATTTGTTAATGTACAAGCCCCAGCTACCTTTTCTGGATATTGAATTTTTCCTCCTAGTATCCTTTAAGTTATACAATATAATTCCGCAGCTCGCTTGCAACTTAGTTCTCCAGCTTTAACTTTTGCATTGGCTCTTTCCACTAGCTCTTCGCTATAATTTTTTACAGATTTTCTCTTGTAGTTTCGTGGCATTGTTGCTGATAATTGATTGATTTAATAATTTGAATTGATTATAAGATCAACATGAACTAAGAAATTAATTATCAAAACAAGAGGAAGGGAAATAATATTAATTATCCAATCAAAGCGCATTTCTATTTAATATAAATAGGTGGCGAAAATCCCTTATTTAGTATTTCTGTAATAACTTTAGAATCAATCAAAATTAGAAAGGAAAACATAATACAAATATTTTTCGAAAAATGTCCTATGTTTTAATCATTTAAATTTTGAATGGAAATAAATATTTTGATTTTTATGAGAATTTTAAATATCCTGTTTTTTTATAGATTATTTTTGTCAATTAATTTTCTCATCAAGTTTTTTTTTTTTTTTTTTTTTTTTTTTATTTGCATTCACTTCCAACAAGGCTGCAAGCAACCACTATTAAGTTGGGAGTTACTAGGAAAAAAAAGAACAGAGTTATAGAGCAAGGAAACGGTTGACAGAAGACTTGAAAAGTTGAAGGTTGTTGGAGTCAGGAAAACATGAAAATGGGAGAGAGTTCCAAAGGATTGAAGTGCGGGGAAAAAAACTAGATGAATAAAAGTTTTTAGAGCATGCTGGGACAGATACAGTAAACGAATGAGACTTAGCTGAATGACGAGTAAAACGAGAATGAATTTTAGTTGATGGAACTAGAGATGATAACTCCGTTGAGCAGTGACTATGATAGTATTTGTAAAAAAGAGAACGAGATGCAACTTTACGACGATGGGAAAGAGGTTCAAGCTTAGCAGATAGTCCAGGTCCAACAACATTTACAATGCATTTTTGGACCTTGTCAAGAAGAGAAAGTGAATCGTTAGAAGAACCAGCCCAAATATGACAACAGTATTCCATACAGGGACGAATAAGAGATTTGTAGAGGTAAAGAATGGAATCAGAAGTAAGGAAATGACGAGCACGATAAAGAGAAGCAACCTTAGCAGAAGCTAATTTAGCAATCGATTGTATATATGGTTTCCATGAAAGGTCAGTAGTAAGCGATAATCCAAGAAGACGTAAAGAGGACAACTCAGTAAGAGGATTGCCATTCATTAATATAGGAATGTTGACCATACTACGGTAGTTGTTTGCAGTAAGCAATTGGGTTTTTTTTGGGGTTGAAATTCACAAGCCACTGTGAACCCCAATCTATTACTGAAGTGAGATCAGATTCAAGATCAGCTGCTTGTTCTAGGCGATTGAAAAGAGAAGACTTTTTGTCAAGACAGGAGTACAAAGTTGAGTCATCAGCAAAAAGAGCTATTTTAGATGAATGGTTGTCAGGGAGATCGTTTATGTAGATAAGAAACAAAACAGGGCCCAGGATGGAACCTTGGGGAACCCCAAAAGTTACTGGAAATAAAGAAGAGTGTTGGCCTTCAAGGATGACTTTAATAAACCGGTCAGAAAGAAATGATTTGATAATCTCAAAAACTTTCCCAGAAACACCATATGAAGCAAGCTTATGGAGAAGACTAGCATGCCAAACTTTGTCGAAAGCTTTAGATATGTCGAGAGCAATAGCCCTAGCCTCACCGCCTCCATCTAATGCACGATAAAACCTTTCAGTTACAGCAGTTAGCAAGTCGGCCGTAGAGCAAGAGGATTGAAAACCGTATTGATTGTCTGACAGCAGTTTATTTGACTTAAGATGAGATGTGAGCAATTTGTTGATCAAAGACTCAAAGACCTTGCTAATAACAGAAAGAAGACTGATCGGACGATAATTGGAGGGGTCAGAATTTTCTCCAGAGTTTTTGAATATTGGAACCACAGATGCCATTTTCCAACAAGCAGGTCAAACACTTGTTAAATAGTTTAGGGAGAATTGAAGAAAGTTCTGGAGAACAATTCTGCAAGACTGTGACAGGAATGTTGTCTGGACCACAAGCTGTAGATGAGTTTAATTGAGATATGACTTTAGCAACAGAAGCCGGAGTGATTTGAATGTCTAACAATGGGTCAACCTGTTTGACTGGAATGGAAGGAAGAGAATGTCCATAAGATTCAAGAGTGGAATTAGAAGAAAAGTTCTTTACAAACAGTTTTGCCTTATCCCTGGGAGAGGTAACAAGATCAGTCAAATGAATGAGAGATGGAATGTTAGATCTACCCTTGTTAACAATGTTGTTGAAGATTTTCCAAAAGTCTTTAGAGCCTAACTTCTGCGATAAGATGCGAGATTTAGTGAACTGAGAATAATGGAGTTTAGCATCAGAAAGCACCTTTTTACATCGATTTCTTGCAATAATAAATAGCCGTTTGTTCTCAAGAGAGTTGTTCTTTTGAAAAAGATGAAAAAAATGGTTACGATTGGATATAGCAGCCGCACAAGAAGGAGAAAACCATGGAGTAGAATGAGACTTGACTTGAAACCGACGAGAAGGAATAAAAGCTTCCATTCCAGCCTGAATCCAGGAGGTTACGTAGGAGGCGCATTTGTCTGCTGAGAGAGAAAAAACATCAGCCCAAGGACCATCACGAAGAAAATCACGAAAGGAATCCCAGTCAGCTTTAGGGTAGTAGTAGGTGGTGCGATGATAAGGTGAGCCCAAAAAAGAAGTACGAGAAGAAAGATTTATAGAGATCATTACGTGGTCAGAACCACCTAAGGGAGAAAAGGGAGAAACTGAACATAAACTAGGGTCAGAGACAAGACATAAGTCAAGGAGTGAAGGTAAATGATTAGGGTTGTCAGGAAAACGAGTCACAAAGTTACCTATCTGAGTAAGAGATTGAGAAACGCAGAAGTTAAAGGCTTTAGTGCCAGCAGGATCAGTGGTGTTAGAGCCAAGCCATTCAGTGTGATGGGCATTAAAATCACCAACAACAACAATATTGTTTAATATTGTTGTTGTTATATTGTTAAGTTTTCACAAAAAGAAGATTTTTTTTACATAATTTGATAAGAAATTTGTTTTTCTTCTAACAGAAATGTGAATTATAAAAAAATCTTATTTCTGAGTAAAGTTATAGTTATAAAAGTAGATATGCACAGATTATATATATATATATATATATATTTTTATTTTACTTCACCTCCTCAAGGCCGAGAAGGCCACTACAGACGAGGAGGCTACTTATTTTGTGGCTATAACCCTCTCTCAACTCTATAACTCCAAAACACGAACCTTGACGAACAAGGCCGCTGCGCAGAGAAACGAGTTGAGCGCGGTACTACCAGGGACGTGGTGGGGATCGAACTCGGAACCACTCGTTTATGAAGCGAGCGCTCTACCACTACACCACTACCGCATTATATATATATATATATATATATATATATATATATATATATATATAATATATATAAAGATGATATATATATATATATATATATATAAAGATGTCAAACTATAAATATATATATATATATATATATATATATATATATATATATATATATATATATATATATATATATATATATATATATAAAGATGTCAAACTATAAATGTAAGCATAGTGTGGAGGTTTCGGGGTAAAGCTAGTATAATTCTATTGAAACTGACAAGAAAAACTACTAATTATCATTCTTCAGAATCTCTTTAAAGAGCCAACACAAATAGTAGTATAGAATTAACTATTATTTGTGAAAAAAAATGTTTCTAATTATCAGTGAAATCATTAATCACTCTCTATTTAAAGTAATTGTCATAAATCATACTCTCTATTTAACATAATCATCATAATTAACAATTGTTTTTGAATTGATTCTTATAATTATTATAATTAAAAAACTAAGTTATTATTTACTGGAAAAAGTATTCATTTTCTCGTCCGCTAAAATAAGCAAAACTTGTTTATTTTAGTGGACAACCAAAAAAAAAAACATTATTGTTTAAAAAAATTTATTTAAATTATCATATGTATTTAAATTTATTATATATTAAGTTTCCATGGTTTAATTTGTATTAATTTAAAAATTGTGATGGCCATATCATATTTGAACTTCTCCAATATGAATTTTTATGCACTTAGATTTATCATTACCTTGGATCATTATCCTGTCATGTCAAGAAAACATTTTTGATAAAGTTTTTGCATGTCAAGTACCTAACTGTTTTTTCTCTTGTATGTATTAATATTAAGTTCATTGCAAACTGTAGAATGTACATTAACGTTAGAAGTATATGGCATGTATACCATATATTTTTAATATTTTTAATGTTAAATTATGAAGGGAAGCTAGATTGTAAAAATATGATAAATGTAGTTTATATAATGTCAGTATTAATCTATGCAAGCGTGTATGTATGTATGTATGTATGTATGTATGTATGTATGTATGTATGTATGTATGTATGTATTGTATTCTATGTATATATATGACAAGCTAAAAAATTTTTTTCAACAAATTACATTATTACCTTGGGACAAGTCTAAAGATGCAACTTTGCCTTGAAGCTGAATCTCATTAGAGTTTTGATCACATCTTAAAAAGAATAAAAGAATTATCACCATAATAATGGAGAATTATCATCATAATCACAAAGAATATGCACATTACTGTGCATATACTCTCATAAAACATTATGCTAATAATAACCATTAAACACAGAAAAAAAAAACTCATTACTATAACAAATATAATTATAACATTAGTGATAAAATATAATATACCTTATATCCCAGAAGCGAATTTTTTTTATCAAAATGGCCACTAATAATAGTAGTCCTAAATGCAAAACAGTATTAAACACAAACATAACCATGTGAAAAAATTATTTAAAATTGAAAAAAATAATAATCTGCTTTGTACTTAATGTTTTGTCTACTCTAATACTACTCTACTAGGTCTACTCTAATAGGATTTTTCTATTGAAAAAAATATTTTTGATAACTGGTTTAGTATAAAAAGTGTATATATATGTGTACATATTTATATACATTTATATATACACTTGTTTTTAGAAAGAGATGGTTGTGCGCCTCCACTTCGAAACCCATGTCGTCGGCCATGAATATGCCAGTTTTTTTTTCAATTCTTTCAATTTTTATTTTTTTTTATTCAAATAATTTTTTAATAAATTATAATGGAGTTTTATTTTCAAATAACTTATATAAACTATATTATTATTAGGAAAAAAAAAATTGATTTAAAAAAATAAGCATTTTTGTTGTATTTTTTGTTGGAAAAAACGTAGACTGGCTTTTTTATAAATGATAGCGGCATTCAAAATACCGCACAATATTTGGAGTAATTAGCTCCAAATGTTTTGCAGAATTTTTATCAAACAAAGAAAGAGTGTTACACATGCCTTCAGTTCTTTACACATTGTTGAAAAAAAAAATCATTCTAAATTAACTCCAGACTGTACATATTGCATGACAAGGAATATTCACATGAAAAGGGTTGGGCACAACAGTAATATAGACACGAAACTGATCTGTTTGTGCACAAGAAATAATATTGGTGACAGACATGAAAAAAGAAATTATGCTACCAAGAATGGGAAATTTTAAAGAAGCAATGTTTTGTCAGCGGTTAACAACATATAATGTATCATTTATGCCTATTGGAAAAACGAAGAAAAGTATAGTTTCAATTGTTTGGCATAAACAAAATGCTGGGCGATACAAAGAGGAGCTAAATCTACATTTTTTTTTTGCAAGTATATCGAGATAAATCTGAAATCACCATTGGTGTGAAAATTATTACATTAAAACAAAAATTGGAGTGATGTTTCTGATATATATGATTAATGGCAATGAAATCACAACCAACAAAATCACATTTATGAGTTATGGTCACACATTTATGAGTTGTGACTCATTTCATCCTTTAATAGAGAAGCAACTTAAACTATGCCACGAGTACAATTTCAATGATTTTATTCAAAGAGTGAAAGCAGCAAAACAAAATACAAAAGTTACAATTTTGCAGGTAAGTTTGATTTTATTTCTATAAAAATGATATAATTTGTAGCTGTAATTAAGTGAGCTTTTATTCTTTTAAGACCACAAACATTTTTGTGCTAAAGGAAAAAATCACTCAATATATGTTGAATAAATTGTATTTTTGTCCATATATGGAAAACATTGCCGAAATCAAGTTTTATGGCATGTTTTATTGTTGTTGCCTATTGGAAAAACAAAGGAAAGTATAGTTTCACTTGTTTGGCATTAACATATTATGACTATTATTGCCCCGTGATTGAAGCATCAGTTTTATCTAAAAAGCAGAAAGAAAAAATGTCAACTTTACCATATACTTTAACCCTTTACAAGCCAAATTATGACAAATTAATGTAAAAAATATTATTTTTTGTTATACTAACAATTTAAGTTAACAAAATAAGTTATTGAAAAAAATTATTCAAAATTTTGTAATTTTGGTCAAATTTGGGTTTGATGCCATATGGCATCATCGGTCAATAAAGATAACATCTGAAAACAAAGTTATAAAAAATTTTTATTGAACTATATATAAACAGCACAGGCAGAAAACTTTTTGTTCAAAAAACATGTTTATTCTAATGTATGTAAGCACTAAATACAGTTTTAATCAATTGTTGAAGTCTACATAGCAGTTGCGATTGGCTAACAACAAAGGAAAACATTACATTTTGCACACATCATTCTGCTATAACTATGACACAGCCTGCATCTTTTTTTATCTTTTTGTGGTTTTGGCCAGTGTCCTATATGATCATACCTAATATCATTAATAGGGATTGGTATGACTGGTTTCTTTCTATTCCTATGTTGAACTTGCTTGATACTGCTAAGTTTAGCTGGTCTTCTCCTACCCTGGATTGCTTTTAATTTATTCGCTTGGATAAGAGCATTTAAAATACCTACTGTAAATTCTGCTAATGCTTGATGTTTGTTGATTGGAAGACCTAATTGCTGATAATGCCAGTTATTTAAGATCCAGGCATTCACTTTGGTCACATCTACAAAATGCCAGAACACTTTGATGTACCATTGTCGTGTTTTTACTTCTGTGCGGTACAAGGCAACTAGCATATCTGCTAGATCTACACCTCCCATGCATTTATTGTATGCTGCCACTATATATGGGCAGGCAACGTTTTTTTTTTCTTTTGTTTTGCTGCACCAGCGAAAAAGTTGGATACTAAATGTATAATATTGTTGTCTAACCATTTCACAACAATTAGTGCAGAATTTTTATCAATATGATAATCAAGTGAACCTCTATCTTGTTTCTTGAGTTCTTTTGATGGTATTACTCAGTAATAGTAAACCCAGTAATTTACTGGGCACCCATGTAAACGATTTGGTCTGATTGTGCCTGCAGCTTTTATTCCAATAGGTATTGGATCAAATCAAGGGTGGAAATATCATAAAGACAATTCCTTTTGGCCAATGACACCATGTGGCATCATTTACTTTTGAAAATTTATAATACACAAAATAATGATCACTTTTTAACTAAAACACCCTCAAATAAATCTTTGTTATTTATATTTTGAATATCATTTAGTAAAGTGTTTTATAAATGTGTTATCTAAATACAAAATGAAAAAAATAAAAATGAGATATTTGAGTTTTTACATCTTTTCTCTACTACAGTAATAAATTAAGTGTTTACTTCTTACAAAGTATGTTCTACCATTATGAAAAGTTTTAGCGTGTGTACACCTTGGTGTTGAATAACAAACAAAAGCATTCTCCTTATTACAGGCTTTAGTAAGCTATAGAAGAACTCATAAAGTCACTGAAGCCGTATGGCATCACTGGCCCATAAAGGGTTAAGAAGTTTAAAAGCCGGAATCAATTCAATCTAAAAATCAAAACCCATAATAAAAAAGAGTTTTGGGAAAATTTCTTAAGAGCTTTTATGTTTAATTCTTCAATTTCAAAATTATATATTTTTACCATTTTGTGCGCATAGAAATTTCATTGTTATTTGTTTTTCTTTTTGTATTATTACTTAATTCATCTTCTAAATACATTTATTTTACTTTAAAATTTTAAAAATTTCAAACAGGTGCAACTAATATAACTTGTTTTGTAATATTAGTTACTTGTGTAGGAAGGTCAAAAATGTTAGAGGGGGAGGGTGGAAACAAAAATTAAAGCAGGCTAGGGCAACAAAAAAAGAATTTGAATGAAATTTAAAAAAACTTGGGAGGGAAGTCCCCCCCCCCTTCCCGTTTTTAAGACATTTATTTAATTAAAGATATTAGAAAACCATCAAACAAACAGAGACGAAGAGTTAATAAAAACTTAATAGAGTTAATAAAAACTTAAAAGAGTTAATAAATTGGAAAAATGAAAACTATAATAAATATAATATTTCTATATATTATTTTAAAATATATATAATTTAATAGAATATATAGAACTGTTATGTTTATTATAATTTTCATTTTTTACTGTGTGTTTAACAACACCAATAAGATTAAATTTAATTAAACGATAATCAGAAAATTAAAAAAAGTTTTGATGAAAGCTATGTTTAGCATGGTTTCTTTTAAAGAAACTCCAAATGCAATCATTTGAACTAAAATTTCATATGCTTTTGTAAACGCATGTAAAAACCATGCTAAAACATAATTACTTTCTTCAGTTGCATATTTAATTATTAAACTTAAAAGTAATGCTATTGAAAAAATAATTAGAATGCTTTTTTTTTAAATCATTGAAAATGTGTTTTAAATTTTAGTAACTTATTGTTTTTTTTTATAATAAAAAAAAAACTACCAATCGCATAATTATTTGGAAAAAAAAACTTCTAAAGTTAAGGGTCGTAAATAAAGTACATTTACTTTTTGTCCACCTCCCCCCCCCCCTATTTTGCAATAGGCTTTTTTGAGTACCCACCACCTCCCTAAAAGAATCTACGCTTTAAACCAATTTATCTAACATTTTATGATATCTTTTTCAATTTAGTTTCTCTTTTCATTTATAATTAACCCATTGCTCTCTCATCGCATATATGTCATTTGCAGACCCCCTATTCCTCTCCCAGCATAAGTAATATATGGACAATCCCTTATGCGTTCATGCGTTAGCTTAAGTAAAAGTAAGAAAACATGACATTCAATTTTTTTAAAAAACAAACATTCGCACGTTCGTTGATTTGTCGCGCCCTGACATTGTTTGTTTTTACGGCAAATATTACTTTTTTCTCAAAAACCAAATGCCTACATATGTTAATGTTTACGCCAAATTTCCTTATTTTCCTAGAATTGCCCCTGTATATATATATATATATATATATATATATATATATATATATATATATATATATATATATGTATTGATTAGTTATGTTTAATACATTTAAAATTAAAGCATTAGTATAAAACAAATATTTAAACAAATATTTTTTATTACTGTTATTATATAGAATAAATATTAGCTTTAAAAAAATATCATTCAAGTCAAGATAACACACAGATATAACACAGACTAAAATATGTGGATATTTTGCAAATATATCTATGAAAGAAAAATCTAAGCAAAAATATGCTACCCTGCAATGTCTGATGTAACAAGATCATTACAACTGGATCCTGCAAAGATTGTTTTAGTGCCTGTTTAAATGCAAGAGTGTCAAAAAAAAAAGAAAAAAAATATAACAGAATTAGAAGCATTTATACTAACACTAACAAAGAAGTATAAAAATACAAAAATGTAAAGATATAAAAAATACGAAAAAAATAACAGTCATATATCTATTAAAACATTAAAATACTTATATAAACATTATAAAATATTAAAAAAGTTATATAAACAAATTTAAAAAACGAAAACAAATGCACAAATTGAATGACATTCAAAAAATGGGACTGGGATTTAATTATCATAACTCCCTTAAAAAGTAAAGTAAATCAAAAAAGAAATTTTGTTTAAACAGATTTTATGATTTATAGCGAGTTTTATACCATTTTCTTTTCTTGCTTTGTTTTAAAAAACCCATAGCAGTTTATTTTTATCAAAACTTTAAGTAAACTCGATTACATTTATTCAAGATTGTTCATGTAAAAACTTCATTATTTGTGTTAATCCAAAATTAAAAAGAAAGAATCAATAATTGACTTTTAATTTTTTTAAATTTTTGACAAGATAAACTGAAAAAACTTGCAACTGCTTCTTGATGGTCTAAATGTTTTGAAATAAACATTTTTTTTTTCTTGGTTTTTAATATAAATAACTTACTTTTTTAGCAGCCTGAGAATCTAGTTGAGAATTTATATCTATATGGTCAAACAAAGATTTGATTTTTTTAAACTATTCCTCCACTTCTTTTGACTTTTTTGTAGCCAAATTCTCTTTTAGTACATTTAGTAGACAAATTCACTCTTAGTACAATTTGTAGCCAAATTCACTTTTAGAACATTTAGTAAACAAATTCACTCTTAGTACATTTAGTAGACAATTCACTTTTAGTACATTTAGTAGCCAAAATTACTTATAGTACATTTAATTATCACACAGATGATACTTTTAAGGAAATGCTCTTTGCTTTTAAGTGGAATATATAAAAAACTTTTAATTTCTATTTACTTACTGAAATTTAAATAGTACTCATACACATGTTTTGTAATTTATAACAAATAATAAAAGCATAATATATTCTAAAATATGTTTTCTTATCATTTTAGCTTAAATTTTAATGAAGTTGAAAGTCTTTGAACCCAGTTCCATTTTTAGTTGTCACCCCTTAAATGCCTTTTTATTTACTAAATATGAGCAATTCTATGCAATACTATATAAAGGATTTTACAACCAATTGCAACCAGTTGCAAAAGGTTGCAACTACTTACAAACTTTGCTTCTTAAATCCCATACTTTTATTGTTCTATCATAACTTCCAGACGCTATTTTGCTCGAATCTGTTCCAAGAAACTTTGCTGTCATTACTTTATTGCTGTGTCCTGTCAAAGTATGCTAAAGTGAATTTTATTAAATAAATCAAAATAAATAACTAATTAGATAAAATAAAATTTATCTAAAATAAAACCCTGACCACCCCTTTCCCTCCCTCCACCTTATCAGTAGCTAAATATTGTGCATTTAACAATCTGCTTTTCACTATTTATTTCTTATTATTATATTACTATTGTATCAGTGCTGGAAATAACAGCTAATCGATGATCTCCTAATATTTATTTTGGCCAATCAAATTTGATTAGGAAAACTGTTAGGCAAACTTAATAAAAAATTCAAATTTTTTTCCAAAGTTTATTAAATGTTAAATAAATTTTTATGAATGAATTAAATTTTTGTTGAATGAAACAAATTTGAAATACTAGAAATGATATTTAAGTCCAAATAATAAACAACAAGACATTTTGATCAATGAGAATAGTTTAGGATTGTTATGATCATATAACAATTTAAACAATTTAATTTTGCCTGAATTGTTATAAAGATGACGTTTAATGATCTCAAACTTTTGTTTGAGATCATTAAACGTCAAAGTCATGTGTTTTCATTTTAAGTATTATTAATGCACAATGGTTCAGGACCATGCTATAAATGCAAAAAAATTATTTATTTTATAATAAAAAGCAATTAAAAAATTATATTATATATGTTTTGTGAAAACCAGATTTAAACTTTCAAGGTCTGTAACTTATAAAAAAATCTAAGAAGGATTCAAAAATTTCAAAAATTAAAGAAAATTACATTTTTTTCGTGCAAAAACCCAAAACTACCAACATTTATACATGCTCATTCTAGACAATGTCACAGATATACCAATTTTTTTATCATTATAATTATTAAAATCAACATAAAGTAATTTAAAATATACAACTTTATAAAAAAGACACAATTAGCTGCATGTTTAACCTTTTTTTAAAAAAATTTGAATTGTTAATTTAAAAAGGTCTTATAATATAATAATATAATGATCTTATAATATAAGATTTTATAAAAATCTCAAAAAAGTTAAAAAAAAGTAAACTATTTTGATAAACAACCTTTATTATTACACTATATTATATTTCAATAATGTTTTCATTAAAACCTTTTTTATTCTTTTTGATTTCAATAAACTTAACTCTTTATTTATTAAAATTATTTATTTTGTTTTACATTATTTATTATTTTAAGCATTTTTCTCTAAAAGATGCACTGATTTTTTCATTGACATTAAATGGGTTGCATTATAGGGTAATTAGTATAATTAGGTAATTAGTAATGAGTTTCTTTTGAATTGGGGAGAATAACAATCAGGAGATGATTATAATATATTAATCACATTAATATATTATAATCAGGAGATAACATTATTATATATACTATTATTATTAAGTAGATTATTTTATATGCTATTAGTTTAAAAAAAAAAAAAAATTTCATAATATCATTATAATACTAATCGTTAAACTTTGTTTAACAAATAGTATTTATTTATCGCATTGTTTTCCTTTAACAAATAAAAGAAACATTAGAGTGGATTAAAATATATTGTCAAAACATAGATTTTATGAAAATTTGATACAAGAATCATGACAACAACTATTCTAATTACCTCAATGGCAAACTGTTTTCATATTTTCTTGTATTATGAACTGTAAAAAAAATGCAATTTTAACCTTTTTTAGAAAAAACAACAAAAAGTACGTGCCAGACAAAGAAAAGAAAACAATAATGAAAAAAAATTTTTTTGTATGTAATACTGTTGTCACATTTCGGCTGGTTCTTCTAATGAAACCTTTAAGGTATGGTACAAAATTGCAATGTAAATGTTGTTGAACCTGCCGCCAACCGAGAGCCTCTGTCCAATTTTTACAAAGTTGTGTCAATTTTTTTTCTTCTAAATATACTAAAATGGTTGATTTTTTTGCTTAAAAATCTTCCTTGAACATTGAATTCTCTCTCATCAACACTTTTATCTGATAATTACTGACAATACAATTTAAAGTTTTGAAAGTCATCTGTCAACTGCTTTCTTGCTCTTTAACTCTTTTATATATAGATAAGTTTTATATATATATATATATATATATATATATATATATATATATATATATATATATATATATATATATATATATATATATATATATATATATATATATATATATATATATACACTATATATATATGCACATACTGCGCGACATAATGATAAAATATCCCAAAAATATTTATAAAACTCAACTATACATTAAAACTAATTTTTATAGTTTTATATAACTTTTAAACTTAACAACATTTAAAAAACATTTTTTATAGTTTTTATATAATTTTTAAGAATAAACAACATTTAAAAAAAAAAAATTTTTTAAAACCCAACTCCCATTTTATAAAAAAAAACTGTTATTTTAGTGCGACATAATTATAAGTCACTTTTAAAAAAAAAATTCATATAAATTGTCATTTTTATAAAAAGACATCTCAATTTTAAACAATCAATTGTGGGTACTATTCTTTTGAATCACTTCAATCACTCTAGAAGGTAAAGAATCATACAACTTTTTTATGTATGAAATGTCAATTGCATCCCATGCAGATGCAATGGATGATTTCAAGTCAGCTACTGGACTATATTGTTTACCACCTTCAAACACTATATGTGACAGCTGTGTCCAAGCATTCTCAATAATCTTAAGGTCTAGAGATCTAGCTGGCCACTTCAATGTTTCAATTTTACTGCTGTTGAAATATTCCTTTACTATCTTAGCTGTTGAATGCTAGCATTATCTTGCTGAAAAATAAAACTTTCACCACCTATAACAGATGTTTCACTTCTTAAAAATTCTTAAACAATTAAAAGATAATCCTTATTCTTCATTTTTCTGTCAATAAAATGAGTTTTTGATTTACCATGATACCCAATCGCACAACAAACCAATACACCACCACCACCCATTTAACGTTGTTGCTGTGTTATTGGTTCTTTATGCAAATTGTGAAAATAATAATTCCATCTACCCGGCCAATCAAAATAAAATCATTTTTAGTCAGAAAATACTACTTGTTGCCACTCTTCCATGTTACATGACCCTTTGCAAAAGTTATTTAATTGTTTATGTGATTTGTTTTTAAAGGTGGTTTTCCCTAAAAATTTTTGTGCAAAAGGTAAAAAGTATTATGAATAACTCGCTAAACTGTACATAATTAGCAATCACACCTGCTTCTGAGCAATTTGATGTGCAGCTAATGAAGAATTTAAAGCTTGTCTCAACAACCTTTGCCTATAATGGTCACTTAATGTTGGTAGACGTCCGGGACTTTTTTTATTCCATACATACTATTAATGTAGTTTTTAATCACAGTTCAGCTGCACCCAATAGCTCTAGCCATGTAACGAACAGAGTGACCCATTTTAAATAAGTTAGAGAGCACATTTTTCTCATCTAGACTTAGTGATGCAGCACGACATATTATTAATTAATTTGCTATTTTATACTTAATAAAAAAAAATCTAAACTAAATTTTTGACAGTTTACAAAATTTAACAGTTAAATAATCGTCTGTGGTGTTTACATCAAATAAATATTCTTAATTGCCTACTACTGCAGTTTGCAAATAAATTTTTTTTTTGTATAGTCTTCTAATTTTGTCGCACTGAAAAAAAGGTTTTTTTTTTAAATAAAATGCAAGTTACGTTAAAAACAAATTTGTTAAAATGCTGTTTAGTGTTGTAAACCCTTTGCTTTCATTTACAATAAAAATTAGTTTTTTAATATAAATCTATAGTAGAGTTTTATAAATCTTTTTGGGATGTCTTATCATTATGTCGCGCAGTGTATATGTGTATATATATATATGTGTATACGTGTATTTATATGCGGTAGTGGTGTAGTGGTAAGAGCGCTCGCTTTGTAAGCAAGCGGTTCAGAGTTCGACTCCTACCACCTCCCTGGAAGTACCGCGTTCAACTTAATTTCTCCGCCCAGCGGTCTTGCTGGTCAAGGTTCGTGTTTCGGCGTTAAAGAGTTGAGAGAGGGTTGTACCACAACTAACAAAATATATATATATATATATATATATATATATATATATATATATATATATATATATATATATATATATATATATATATATATATGTAAAGATCTAAAAACCACGGTATGAGCAATTTTGTTTTATTTGCTGACTTAAAGGGATTCCCAACTGCCAAAACAAGTTGTTTTCATATTAAAGAAAATGTTTAAAAAAAACATTTGGGCTAAAGTTTTTTGATTAAAACTAAATAATGAATGCACACCATTCATTTTAAAATTCACATTTTAGTCGAAGCTCACCGTCTCCATATTTTTGTTTCTTGGAGTCTGTATAATATTAGCTGCAATTTGCAGACTTGATAATTTATTCAGTGCGTGTTTAATTCATAACAGTTTCAGTATATGAAGTCATCATATAAATTTTTTCTTTCAAGATATAGTATTTATTTTTTACCACAATCACCAAATCATGTTAAATGTATAACTTTTTACTAAATCCCCAAAAAAAGTTGATATAATTAAAAAATAAATTTATAAAATGTGATATAAAATAAAAATTTAATATATAACGAATATTTGCAGTAAAACGTACTGGTTTAAACTAAATTTATATAAACTTAACAAAAAACCATTGACTTGAATAAAATATGTAAACTGAACTAAGTAGAAAATAAATATTAAACAATTTATTTTACTAATAACTGTACAAATTAAAGATAAAACAAATATTTGTATTAAAATATACAAAAAAAAGTTATAAAATAAATATAAAAACGAAGAATCGCATTAACTCGTTCACTATCAGCCAAACAAAAATCTTTTCGTAGTGACCGCTCAATTTTTTGAATACAATTTGATGACATAACATTGACAATTAATTAAAATTCGAATAGTAAATCTCTTTAAAAGCATAACAAACTATATATCAATAGAAAGCGAAACAAATGTACTTTTTAATTAAGTTTTTAACACGCATGATTAAACAATAAGAAATGCAAAATGCTAAAAACCATTGTTTTTATAAATAGTAACTAAAACATAAGTCCCAAACAAAACTCATTTAATGAACAAAAAGTATATTTTCTCTTCAAAGTAATTACTTTGGTAATTACTTAACTAAATACTTAACATTTATACAAGTTAAATTTTACAGTGTTAAAACTGTTTTATTTTATAACTTATAAATTAGTTATAAAATATAACATAAATTTAAAGAATTTTTTTTATGAAGGATTATTCATGATTTTTTAACTTTGTCAAGTGATAACTTTTTTATAATTACACAATATAGCTCTTATTTTTTCTTGATTATGTAGAGAATTAATTAAATCTTTAGAACAAACAAATTATATGTTTAGAATGGAAATTTATGTACAAAACAAGATAAATTGTAAAACATACTTGAAAGCCGCTACCAGAGGCTTGCGGTAGTGAAAGAGTAACTATGTGTAAATTAAACATTTATCGAACAACTCTATTAAACCATATGAACTAAATATAAAACGAGAAACCGCATCATACTGCCTTTATTTTTTCTCTGCCTGCAAACTCTAATAATCACAAAATATGTAAAATTGTGTCATGATTTTGGCAGGGTTCTAAAACAAAGTAAAAATAAAGCAAGTAAAAAAAAAATATATAAATATAAAAAAATATATATATTTGTATAATTTTTTACTAAATCATAAATATTTTTTGTGATTTAGTAATAAATTATACAAATATTTGATTTTCTCATTGTAGTAGAAAAAATATATCTTTAAAAATTAAATAAATAAAAATTAAGTAAATAAAATTATCTCACCAAAAGATCAAATCTTGTACAAGTTACAGATTGTCGACAACCAGTTAAAGTTGCTAACTCCTTAAATGCACCTTTAAAAAGAACTTTCAAATCACATTCCTAATATTATTATTATTTTAATATTAATAAATTTCATACTTTGCGGACCTCAATTTTTAGAGGTTGGCAAAAAAAATTAATACAAAGGTTTTACCATAAAACAATGAAACAAGGTCGGTAATTTTTTTTTGCAGTTAATTTGGCATTGCAGAATGCCAACCCTAATTCCGAGGGTTGTATATATATATATATATATATATGTATATATATATATATATATATATATATATATATATATATATATATATATATATATATATATACTTTTTTTTTTTCCTACTAAATAGCTACTTTGTTTGATATAGTAGAAAGAAAACAAGAACAAAAGACAATCGTTTGCAGTTTTAATGAATGAATTATTAAATTTATTCATTGAAACTTTGATCTATTTTAATTGTGTACATCGCTTTTAAATACAGTTTTAAAAGATTGAAACGATTAGTTACATATATTGTACTTTTTTATTTTCATTTTTATTTATAAATTACAAATGTAAAAAGTAAAAAAAAATTCTAAATAGTATTTAATTTTTAACAAAACATTTTTGATGATTTCCACAATCCTCTTGTTACTTTTCAAATTGCTAAAACGACTTTTTAATTGACGACTGTTGATAAAAACACTATACATTATAAGTAGGATTTCCAGAATTTCGACTTTTACAAAGGAAAACACAGTAAAAAAAAAATTTTTACAGGTTTGTATTTTATTTCGTATAGACCAAACGATTGGCAACTCCAATGTTTAAAACAGCGCTGCCTCAAGGCTGCGAGGTGTGCGCTTTTTTAAACCTTGAATATAGTTAAGGTTTAAAAAACCTTGCAAAAACCAATACCTTACCGCCTTGAGGTGGCGCTAAAAACTAAAAATAACTTACATAACTAAACTTTAAATATACATGTAAATTTTTACGCAAATATAACAGATAATACGTTTCATTGCAAGTTTTTTTTGTTAATTTTTTTGTTTTTATTTTTGGTTTACTTTACCAGCTAATTTACTTTACTGAAAGTGTTAATAAATCTTTTATAATAAAATTTATTAACTTATTTTAAAGTATAATATTTATTAATATGCAAATTTCTCTGTAACTTTCCTTACTTTAGATAAACAGACAAAATGTAAATTAAGAGTTTTTGAATAAAAAAATTAAATTATTAAAATAATTTATTAAACATTTTTATTAAACATTATTGAAAAACCTTAAATAGAGAATAACTGACGTCAATAAAAATTAAAAATAAAAGTTTTTTTTTCAACTTTTAAATGAATGATCTTGTTAATGTTAATGACAATTGTTAATGACGACACGTTTTTACACATTAAAAAAATTGATCAACAAATCTTTTCCTCGTTTGCATACTATTGCATTTTTTACTAGTCTAGCGCAACACTTTAAATCTAAGACTGATTTTTTTTTTTAACTATATTATGAACCTATTAATAAATCATTTAAAAGTAAAAAAAAAATTTGATTAATAAAAATTGCAGAAAGATGCATATAATAAAACTACTATTATTTTACGTCTGGAAGTTAAGGCAACATCAAACCATGACTCACAAATTTTAAATGGAATATTTAAGGGTTTCGTACATAGAGCATTGAATGTATGCCGTCAGAAACATATAGAAAATGAACTGAAATTCCTTAATCAAGTATTTGTCGAAAATGGCTACAAACAGTCTAATCTCATGAAAATCATAAAAGAAATAAAACAAAAGTACAAAAAATCTCCAGTGACTACTAAAAACATTGACAACATCACCAGCACGTATCCAACCATTTCGTTACCTTGGGTACCAAAATTGTCTCCGAAATTGCGTAAAGTGTTTAGGAAGGCAGGATATAAAACGGTCTTTAAATCAAACTTGAACCTGGAGACATTATTAACATTAAGAAATAAATCCAAACTAAAAATGAACAACCACCCAGGAGTCTACCTTATTAAATGTCATTGTAGCAAAAAGTGAATAGGTGAAACAAAAATGCGAATAAAAACATGCATGCAACAACACAAAAATAGTACAATAGGAAATTAAAAAGAACGATCTGCATTAGCCACATACATGAAACATTGTACACAACAAATTAACTGGGACAGTTGCAGAACTCTAAAAGTTAATGCTAAAAAGTTTGATAAAAAAGTTTGTGAGGCACTTGAAATATAGTACTACAAATGTGCCCCTCAACAAAATGGTATCAATTTAGAAAATCATAAACAAGTATTACCATTTGATTTTACATGCTCCCCAATTAAGTCAGTAAGTTGTGGAGTTCCACAAAGACCAATACTTGGACCTTTGCCATTTTTAAATTAAATTAATGATATTTATTTGTCATCAAAAATACTTAATTATATTATTTTTGATGACAACACTAATGTTTTCTTTTCTGACTCAAATTTAAAAAATATTTTTTGTAATGTAAACACAGAACTAATATATCTCAATGAGTGGTTTATAGCAAATAAACTTTCATTGAATAACAAAAAAACAAAATATATTTTGTTTGTTCATCTAAATCTGAGAACCAGAACTAAATATTAACAAAATTAAAATAAAAAGAGTTTTTTCAACAAATATTTAAATTGGAAAACCCAAATAAAGCTAGTCGAAAACAAAGTCTCAAAGACTTTATGGACAATATATAAGACTAAACCTCTATTGAATAAAATATGTTTAAGAAATTTATATTTTTTGTTTATACATAATCATATTAGCTATTGTAATATTGCCTGGGCAAATAATCACTCATCTTTCCGAAAACCTATTTATACAAAACAAAAGCAAGCAAGTCGATTAGTTTCAGGCATGGATAGATACAAATGTGCCAAGCGATTACTCAAGGAAATAAATGTCCTAAATGTATACAAATTAAACATTTACCATAATTTGTTATTTATGTTTAAACTTCAAAACAAATTAATTTCTAAATTATTTTTATAAAAACTTCTCTCTTATTAATCATAAATATAAAACAAGACAATCAATAAATAATTACTAAATCCTACTAACATTACTTAAAAAATCTGACTTATTAATTACATGTTAGGGACCACGCTTGAGGAACTCGGTTCTTGACGAAAATATGAAAAAAAAATCTATTGATATATTTAAAAGAGCTGTAAAAAAACGCTTGTCACCTTACCTAAAGACAAAGCTGAATTGTTTGCTAAGAACTTTTCATCGATATCATTTCTTGATTCCACTAGTTGCATTCTACCTGATATAGGCGTCAAACAGTTTGATCCATTGCTCAACATCCATATCACTCCAACTTCTGTATCTAAAGTGATTTCCTGCTTAGACTCTTCTACAGCTTGCGGCCCGGACAACATACCTAGTCTTGCAGAAGTGTTCTCCGGAGCTGTCGTGTATCCTTTTAAAACTATTCAACAAGTGCTTATCAGAGTCTTGTTTTCCAGCCTGCTGAAAAGCAGCATCTGTTATCCCTATTTTTAAAAATTCTGGAGAGCGATCTGATTTGTCTAACTACCATCCCATTAGTCTTCTTCCTATCATAAACAAGGTTTTTGAATCTTTAATTAACAATCACTTAATCTCTCATTTTGAATCTAATAACTTATTTTCTGATCATCAATATGGATTTCGATCTTCTCGTTCTACGGCTGATTTGCTAACAGTAATAACCAATAGGTTTTTTCGCCCATTAGATAAAGGTGGAGAGGTTAAGGCCATCGCTCTTGACATTTCTAAAGTGTTTAATAAAGTTTGGCAAGCTGGTCTTTTCCATAAGCTTTTTTCTTATGGTGTATCTGAAAACATCTTTAAGATTATTGAATCTTTTCTTTCCAATTGTAGTATATAAGTTGTTTTTGATGGACAGCACTCTTCTTCTGATTCTATAACCTCAGGGGCTCCTCAAAGTTCAATCCTTGGCCCTATACTCTTTTTAATTTACATTAACAATCTTCCAGATATTCTCACATCTAAGGTGGCATCTTATGTTACTCGTCTCATCCTTTTTCTGTTACTGTTTCTAAGTGCTCCAAAAACTTTTATTTGTTTAGTTTTTTTCCTTAAACATCAGTTCTTTGGAATTCACTTCCTTTATCTTGCTCTCCTGATTCATATAATTTGCAAACTTTTAACTCGTATGTCAATCGTTATCTTGCTTTACAATCTTCATCTTTTCGCTTCCAGTAACTTCCAACACTAATCAGTAGTTGCTTGCAGCCTTGTTGGAAGCAAAGATGTTAAAAAAAAAAAATGTATGTATATATATAAATACATACAGTGAGTATGTGTATGTATGTATGTATGTATATATATATATATATATATATATATATATATATATAATATATATATATATATATGTATGTATGTATGCCCTTCTTATGTATTTATATATATATTCTTGTTTCTATTTGTTTGTCTGTTTTAATTTTGTTTTTTGAAAAAATATGAATGATGAATTCAAATCTATAAAATGTTCGGAATCTTTTGAAATTTAAAATATCTTTTGTATATTTAAATATATGTTATGAAGTTTATTGAATATGTATACGCATATGTACCAATTTGTAAATAATTTTTTTCAAACATTTTTAATTTTTTATTATTTTTAAAACTTTTTAGTTTTGTCAAACTTAAAAAAATTATTTTTAAAACTTAAATTTTTCAAACTTTTTAATTTTTTTTTTTATATACTTTTTTTAATTTCACTCTTTTATATATTATTTGAAGTTGTAAAATTTTATTTTATTTTTTTCTATTTTCACAAAGGAGCTTGATGATAAGACATTTTGTCTTTTACTTCCCCCAGTCAGCTTGTAATTGTATAAATTTATTTAAATGTAAGATTAACATTGTAAAATGTGTCAAATGATGAAAATAATAATAATAATAAAAAAATTTAGATACGGGACAATGTGTCAACAAAATTTTGGACGCCATTTCTAGCGCACTTATTTCAGAAAAAGACAAAACCATCCGTAAATCATTGACATAAAATAGAACTGCCATATTTAAAAATAACACATAAACAAAAACAAACAAAAAACTTTTAACCTGAAGACGCTGGTCACAACAACCCAGCAAAAATTTTTTTTTAAAAATAAATTTAGTATCGAGATAAAATTGTATTTATTTACAAACATTGAAAAATATATATCCACATTGAAAAAAAAATAAAAATATATTTAATTTATGTAAAAAATATATGTAATTTGATCTAATTTGTGAAAATGATTGATAATTATTTTGCAGACAAAAATTGTATTTCTAACAGGAATATTTGACCACTTGCCTTTATATCAAGAGGTCTGTGATTGAATGTTAGCTATGGCTATATTTGCAACATCAATAAGAAATGTGGTGTGAAACTCCTAACTCTTTTGTGAAGCTCAATGATAAAGCTATAAGCAATTTTTAACATTTATCTTTGACTCACTATACTCACTCGCAACTGAACTACTCAGTAAGTCAGCTTACTTAGACATACTTAATTACATAAATAAAATATGAATGTAATAAAACTTAATTATCAAGTGATTAACTAAATTACTTAAAAATACAATTAAATAAGTATAACTTTTTTTAAATAAAAAAAATTTTTTTTTTCGAACAATAACAATTTCATTTATAAATTTTTTTTACAAAAGTATTGTTTAATTTAAAGATATTTAAAGATATGACTTTTAATGATTTTTAACGTGGTTTTAAATAAAAAGTAATTACAATGCAGTACTTTAAAATATGCCATTGAGATAATTTAACTTTTAACGACAAATGTATATTTTATAAAGTTACATTTACTTGCGTTACACAATAAAATCTTATAACAAGGCCTATGTACAAATTTTATCTATTTATTTTTATCTAAACTTTATAAATGTTATATATTTATTTGCATAATTATATACAAAAATTTATTGTCAAAAAATATACCTCTTCCATCTATTTCCCAGATTTTAACTTTTCGATCTGAACCACCTGTTACAAAGTATTTTCCAGAAGGACTAAAATGCACTGTCATGACTTCTCCTTCATGGCACTCCTATTTGACATAAAAAAATTTGCATTTAATGAAAATGTGTAATATAATGACAACAACAATAGAAATATACAAGCCTGCAAAGTAGAATAAAACCAGAAAGTTTGATATCCTTTTTCCAAATTTTTTTCCTGCAAAAATTAAATAAGTGTCACAGTTGCTACACTGTAGAGTTTTTCAAATACGTTGTTTAGTTACAAAACCATGCATGCATTTAAATTAGTTGTTTAGTTACAAAACTATGCATGCTGCATCTAAATAAGTTGCTTAGGCACAAAACTATGGATGCTACATTTAAATGAGATGCACCTTACAGAACTACAGATGCTACATTTAAATGAATTGCTTAGTCACAACTATAGATATATATTTATATATAAACCATAACAAATAAAACATAATAATGCTAATTAATGATCATTAATGCTAATTAATGATAAAATACTAAATTGCATATCTTTAAAAGTACATTTGACTCTTTAAAAACTGTTCTACTGATTTTAAAAGATCATTTTATTTAACAAACCAAGTTTGTTTAAACAGAAAACCAAGTTTGTTTAAGAACAGAGTTTGTCAATAAAAAAAAACTCTGTTCGTACAATTTATAAAGATTTGTTATTTCTTTTCAAGGTGAATAGTAAAAGAGAAATACTTGGCATCCTTTCCGCTAAATATCTGTATTAGTCCTTAAACAAGATCTTTTTAAGATCTTGTTTAGGGACTAATACCAATGCTTGGTATTATTCCTTAAACAAGATTACAAAAAAGAACAAGAATACAAAAGTATATTATGTTATGTTAATGGGTTTTTAGCTTAAAATTAATTTGTTATAAAAAAAAAAAATGTAAAATGAATATATTTTTTTTAAATATAAAAAACCTTAGTTTTTATGCAATCAAATCTAAAATGATCATTTTGTATGAAATAATTATTATTTTTGAAATTTTAATATAATTTTTCTTTTTTTGAGATTCAGGTTGAACTTTTTTTGAAATATTAGGGACCCAATAAATATTCAAAGGTGTTGAGGAACCGCTTAAAACATTTTTTTATTTTCGAAATCTTTAAACACAGTCCTTTTTTATTATATTAAACACATTTAGGGGGTTGAATCAAGCATTTTCAAAAAAGCTGCTTTTACTAACCATCCAAATAAACTTTTTAGTATACACAGTATACATTCAAATGCATCATATTAAGGGTTAAGAAAAACAGAAAAATAAAATGGTCTCTCCTTCCAATAAGATGGTTGTGTCTAGTTTTACTAATTAGCTTGCGAAAATTTGATTTAAAAATCTGCTAGCTAAGTTGTATAATTTAAGTTGTATAAATATAAAGTATTATAGATTAATTTTTAATACCACCCACAACCACCACCAATCTTTATAAGTTCAAATATTTTATGGCCATAAAAATCATGCATATAAATTATAACTATTTAATGTAAGTATTTAATGATTTGTTTTATTTATTACACAGGTGGTAGAAAAATAGGTTCATTTGCTGCATCGATCAATTCTTGTTGAAGCTTTTGTTGCCTCCTACTAAAAAAACAAGTTAAATAATTACTGAAACGTAAAAAAAAAAGTAAAAAGTATGATCTGCTGAATTAATAATACCTAGCCAAAACTTCATTTTGCATGTTAAGAAGATCTGCTTCTAATGCTTTTAGATGCATACACCTTTGTACCTAAAATAAAATGGAAGTTTTAAAATAATTGTTTTTGTGCACACACTCACACACAAACACACACACACACAATTCCCTCAGGCGTTCACTGCTCGTGTGTGACCATTCGACGAATTTTATATGCCAAAGTTTTTAAAAAATATTGGGTCGGCTAAAAAATGTAAACAGATTATTATTTTTTAAAATTTATTTGAAATTTTCAATTTCAAAGCTAATTTTATTTATTACCATTATTGTGTATGATTAGATTATGATTATTTGTCTATGATTAGATATGATATGATTATTGTCTACTTATCACTACACTAATTATGTTTACACATTAGCATTAATGTTTTTTTTCCATTATTAGTCCTTTCATTGTTGTTAGCATATTTTTAATTTGTTGAATTGTTTTTTATTTTACAAAATTTTTTATTTTTATTTTTATTTTATATATATATATATATATATATATATATATATATATATATATATATATATATATATATATATATATATATATATATATATATATATATATATATATATATATATATATATATATATATATCGTGTGTGACCATTCGGCGAATTTTATATGCCAAAGTTTTTAAAAAATATTGGGTCAGCTAAAAAATGTAAACAGATCATTAGTCTTTTAAATTTATTATCTTTTAAATTTATTTGAAATTTTCAATTTCAAAGCTAATTTTATATATGTGCCATTATTGTCTATGACCTCTTGATAACGTTTAGATAAAGAACAAATGCTATTGATTAAGACTCTTTAGACTTTGAGTCAAAGAAATGATTGAGTATCTGTTGGAGTGACTTGTTATGCAAGCTTTTGATTAGTGATTACAATAAATAACAATCTGTAATCTCAAATGAATAATCTAAAACAAAAAGTCTGTTCAAAAGGAGAATGAATGAGACAGACCTGTTGAAGTGACTCGTTGTACAAGCTGTTATATCACTGTTGTACAGTGATATAACAGCCGTTGTACAGCTGTTATATCAGAACAATTAATAATCTGAATAATAATAATAATAATAATCTCAAATCTGTAATCTCAAATGAATAATCTAAAACACTAAGTCTGTTATAGAGAGTTGATTGTGGTGTTCAGAAGAAACAGTTTCCAGTACACAATATCGCACACGACAAAAGTAGGTTGTTGGCTTGATTGTGATTGAAATTCCCCAATTTGAAAGCAAATATTTTTGGGGTGTTGAATTTACGAGTTAGATTTGCCAGTTGATCTGGAACTAGCCACTGATACTTTCGGTGTTATGATCTAGTTAAACATGCAGTGCAAAGACAAGATGCTCATGCAGGTGTCTATTAAATTTTAAATAAAAAAGCTCTGTAATAAAATTTTTTAGTTGATACTGATTTCAAAGTAAAAATTACAAAAGAACAATTTGTGTTTGTTAATTTTTTTTTTTTTTTAATAATTATCTTATTAAACATTTTTTATCTATTTAGTGGTTTTTTTATTTACTTTTTATTTTTGACCCATTTGTATTTATTATCATTTTTTTATCAAAATATCATAATATTTTCTTGTTTTACCTAAATTCAGGAAGAAAAAAAAATAACAGGTTAGTTTGAAATATTTTTCCTTTGGATTGGTAACTACAGATTTGTTGACAAAATCATTTTTTTTCACATACTTAAATCAAACAATTTTAGTAACTTTTTAACATTTTTTTTAAATTTAGAAAACACAGTTGCTTGCCTGTATTACTTAAGCAATTGTGTGTACTGCAAAGTTCTAATTTGAAATAATAATATACACAATGTGGAATAAACATTCAATTTTTATTCTCACGTTTATACAATTGCATATAACTTTAAGTAAAAATTCAACTTACCAACTCTTGGTATTTAAACTGTAGATTTTTATACTTTTCTTCTGTTGAATTGCAAAGCATTTGAAGAGCCTGGTGCTCATCCTTAATTGCCTATTCAAATAAATGTTTTTTATTTTTAACATGTTTCCTTTTTTACATTTTCAAAAGATTTTACAATAAAAATAACAAACTCTGGAAAAAAATTTAAAATAGAAAAAATTTAACAGACAGAAATACACATAATGATTCAGATTGTTCATTTATATAAAAATTATTTAAATTATAAATTAAAATTATAATATTATAGCATTTTACATTTTCAAAAAAGTCTTCAAAAAAATATAAACTAGCCTAAAATTAATTAAATTAATCAAAAAATTAAATAAAAATTAATTAAAGGAATTAATAGATAAAATTATGTTTATATACATAGAATATTTTGTCACTTGTTTTATTTTAGTTGTTGAATGTCTGGAGGTTTCTCCAATATAACTTGCATAACAGCCACCACAATTAAATTTGTCGACAAAATGAGCAGATCAGAGAGTGAAAGTGAAAGTAAATTTTTATATAAACAGTTGGATGACATAATTGCCATCTTTAATACTTTTTTGAAATAAATTAATGTAATGTAATCCTCAGTTTCTATGTATTAGTACTATTGTATCAGTAGTACTGATACAGTATCAGTACTACTGTATCAGTAGCAGGCAGTTTTTGTATTTATTTTACCGCAACTCATTACTTTTAGGCAACAGATATGCTTTTCTGTAATATCCTCTAAACTTTTGCTGATTTGAATTATTTCTATTTAAATATGTAAACATGCAGCTCTTTTTTAAACATGTTTTATTTTTTCAACTTATAAAAAATTAAAGCAAAATTAAAAATTACAAAAAGTAAATTTGTTTGAAACAAGTAACAACCTTTACTGATACTGTAACATGATTTTTATTAACTGCAAAGGATGTTACTGTAACCATTGAAACCATGCAACACTAACACAGCAAATATTGAGATGCAATAAAAAATAAATATACAAATTACAAGACCACACATTTTAAATTAAAAAAAAAAGAAATCTTGTATATCATTATTACAAAGCAGACTCGCCTAGCCAAAGTAAAACAAAAATGTCTCTTTTATCTTAAAAAAAGAAGAATCATTGTTTCTACATGCATTGTTCCATTTCAGATTACAACTTATGTTGGAGAAGCAGTAACTGGTATTTGGGAAAACCCAAAAGCAAAGTTGCTCAATTCAAAATAAAAAACAATTTGTTTTAGATTGAATAAGTTTTTTTGTTAATTATTTTAATGAAATAAACTAATTAAATTTAAAAATATTAATAATAAACAAAAAAAAAGCATTCACAACTTCATGCAACATTTTTTTCAAAAGATTATTTGTCCACAGTGTTTATTTATATATATATATATATATATATATATATATATATATATATATATATATATATATATATATATATATATATATATATATATATATATATATATATATATATATTTATTTTAATTCACCTCCTCAAAGCCGAGAAGGCCACTACAGACGAGGAGACTACTTATTTGTGGTTATAACCCTCTCTCAACTCTATAACTCCGAAACACGAACCTTGACGAGCAAGGCCGCTGCGCGGAGAAACGAGTTGAGCGCGGTACTACCTGGGACGTGGTGAGGATCGAACTCGGATTATAATTAGTAGTTTACCCCATTTTTTAACTACTAGGGACATGGTGGTACTACCAGGGACGTGGTGGTGAACGAACTCGGAATATAATTAGTAGTTTACCCCATTTTTTAACTAAGTAATTAAATTAAATTTATTTAACAACAAATAAACTATTCACAACAACAAAGAAAAGGTTGGCAAAAAATTATCAACCTCTGACACTATTATGTTCACATTTTAATTTAAAAACTACTAAAGATCCTAGCTTTTATCTTTTCTAGTGCATATTGATTGAATATAATTGTCAAAACACATTTCTATTAACTTTTACATAAAAAAAAAAAATTCTGACCAAGAAAGAGCTTATAATTAGGAAAAATTGCCAATAAATAAGTAGAACAGATCATATTAAACCTATTACATTTTAATATTCTAAAGTCCCCTTAACTACACCGAGTGTTAAGAATAAAAGTTTTTTACAAGAAGAGATAATTTTTGCAAGTTCTTTAAGTATTACAAATAAAGAATCATAAAAATACTAAAATGTAACAAAATACTCAAATAAACAGCTGCCTGTTGTTTTAATATATAATCGCAAAAAAAAAAAAGTCATATAGCTGCTGCAGCAAAGCAAGGGCTGGTTTGCAGGACTTGTGTTAATAAATAATGGTGAAAAAAGTATAGACATTGACCAAATGATAAGTAGTCAAGAAAAATCAAAGAACAAGAAAAAATGCATTCAATGTATTAAGTCAGTTAGGACATGATAATCAAAAAGTACAACCTATTTTTATAAAATGGTTACTACTTTCAGTAATAGAAGAGCAATACTCAAAATTTGATATTGTAGATATTAAACATAACGAACAAATTAGGAATTTAATCGAACTTTATATGTATATGAATAAAATGTTTTAAATACCGAAGATAATAAATAAAATGGTGTAAATTTCATTGATGGATAATAAAAAACAAGATCACTGCAATGTTAGTTTCCTTTTTCCATGATAACAAACTGTTGCCATTTAACAAATACACCACTATTTTCTTACTTTAGATGAAAAAACTAGTAGTCTTAATCAGTTTAAAGAAGAACCAGGTAAGCAACTGCAAAACCCCTAATGAAAGCCCCTAATGACAAAACTGTATTTCCAATTATTTCCCTTAATAATTCATTAATAAAACATTAGTTTTGTAAATAAATTGTTATTCCCTGAGTCATCCCTAGTCTGTGGATCATCTTTAAGAGAAAGTTTTATTAAAGCAAAAATTGTATTTAAAAAAAAAAAGCTAAAACTTGATACAAAAAAAACATTTCAATATGTCACGGTAAAAAGCAGTAAAAAGCATATGTTAGAAACATTGACAATTTTATCAATTACTTGAATGATACAAATTTATTTATTCTTATTTTTTACTATTTTTTGTAGGAGGTAATAAACAAAAATAGTATATTATTAAATGTAAGAGATAATAAACCATTTACTTTGTTATCAAAGCATAAAGAAATGATAAAAATTGAGAAAAATACGTATTTGTAATAAAGATTTTTTGTTATTGGATATTTTATGAAAATTGTTTCTTTTCTTAGTTTAAGTAAACATTAATGTTACTAATTTCACAGTATGAGTATGTTAAGATTTAAAAAACATACAACCAAATTTCATCGCCTACACTACAGAAGTGCAGAAATATAGATATTAAATTTTAAAAAAGAAAGAACTGCTATACTAAAAAAACCTGGTTACTATAAAAACAACCTGGTTAGCAGCTCCAAGTCAGCAATAAGTGAATTTAGCCATCCATTTTCTGAAAGAACACTATCCATTTGATTTTGATTTTCTTGAATACTAATCATGCATATAAAGATGTTAATTATGCATATATTTATGTTAAAATTATAAAACTTATTAAGTTGTAAAAGATCTGATAACAGATTTTAAAATCAAAAACAAAAAGTTACATACATTAAATCTTTTTGTAGAATTAAATCATCTTTTGCTTTTAAATCGATTGTTAGTTCAATTATTTTTTGAGCATGCTAAACATATGTTAAACATAAGATAATAAAATCTTATAATTTTTTTATTTGGCAGAGTTTAAAATAGCCTAAGTTACTGTTATTATTTACAACTATATATATAACAAATATATTGCAAATATATTTGTTATATATATATATTTGTAATATATATATATATATATATATATATATATATATATATATATATATATATATATATATATATATATATATATATATATATATATATATATATATATATATATATATATATATATATATTTGTAATATATATATTTGTAATATATATATATATTAGGGTGCATCAAGTGCCCCAACATTTTGAAAATTTTGTCAAAAGTGTTTGTCCCCAATTTAATTCTGTTCCTCTTACCAAAACAACATTTTTGATGCAGTTTCAGAAAATTTGAACGTTATCTAGGTGGTCCACCAAGCAAACAAAGTTTTGGATATAATCAGAAAATTAATTACATTTAAAATTAATCAACATGTTCTAAAACTAAGTTAATTAAGCTTTTTAATTAAACAAAGCTCATTTATTGAGCTAAAACACTTATTATGATAGGCAGTTACACAGCAAACAGTGACACTAACAAATTAAGAATATTTGTATAAACTTGAGTTTGAACAAAAGCCGGTCAAACCAGGGTTGGCATTAAAAAACCCGCCCAAAAAAACCCGCCCAATAAAACTCAAAAAAACCCGCCTAAAAAAACCCAATAAAACCCTGGAAAATCTGGGTTTTATTGGGTTTTTTAAAGATATTTATCAAGTTAATGAACTATTATAACCAACTTTAACATTATAACTATCATATTATTAACTAAAATAATTATTAACTATTATTATTAACTAAATTATTATTAACTATTATTATTAACTACTATAACCAACAATAACAGCTATCAGAGCAGGTTTACTATTATTTGAATCATTATTTGGAAATACATTATTACAATTTTTATTCAAATATTTTTATCGATTGAGATTTTTATTACTTTATGTTATTCACCTCCCAAGTTTAATTTAAATGAGTATTAGTGACCAGAGAAGCCAACACAACAGTCGAGGAGGCTACCTTGTTGTGGTTACAATCCTCTCTCAACTCTAACGCGGTAGTGGTGTTGTCGTAGAGTGCTCGCTTCATAAGTGATAGGTTCCGAGTTCGATCCCCACTACGTCCCTGGCAGTACTGCGCTTAACTCCTTTCTCCGCGCAGCGGCCTTGTTCGTCAAGGTTCGTGTTTTGGAGTTATAGAGTTGAGAGAAGGTTATAACTACAAATAAATAGCCTCCTCGCCTGTAGTGGCCTTAAACCTTAAGGAGGTGAATTGATTAAAAAAAAAACTAAAAAAAAAAACTCTTTAACTCCTAAACATGAATCTTTATAAACAAGGCCGCTGCGCAGAGGAACAAGTTTGTTCATTTGAATTTCAAGTTCAAAGTTTAATTTAAACTTCAGTTACTACCTCCCATTCTCTAGCCTTCTTTTTCCCATTTTCTCATTGACATTTTTAATTATATAGAATAATACTTTTAAATTTAAAATAAATCAATACATATAGATTAAGCGTGAAATTTTTTTTTCTTTTACAGTTTTAAATTATATTTAAAAATCTTTTTCAAATCAATTTGAAGAATTCTTGTTATAAATAATTAAACAACAATATATAAAATATGTTTTGAATAAAGTTAAAGTAGAAAATGAAACTAATTTTCAATATCATTAAACAAAAACACAAAAAAATTTTTTACAGGGACAAAATAAAAATTAAACCCAAAAAAACCCAAATTTACCCAATAAAACCCAAAAAAACCCACTGGGCCGGGTTTTTTTAAAAAAACCCGGGTTTTTGCCAACCCTGGGTCAAACCCCAATGAAAACAGTGTCAGTCAGTCATTCTACTCATTTCTTGCGTTTTCTAATGTCTGGCCGCAATTCTGGTCTTTCTCAACAACCTGAAAGATATTTTAATAATGTTTTCCACACTTGGCTGTTGATTCATCCCTCTCTCCGCACTCTCATTCACCACATTCAATGCTTGAATGTTAATCATTGAAACCTGATATAAAGCGCAACTAGGCCAATTCACAATGTTCTCAGTCACAAACTCGGAGTCTACCTGTAGGATGTCAAACAAGAACCACAAATCAATTCCCACCAGATCAGCAAGCGTTGTTGATAATGTAATTGATTCAGGAAAATCTGGTTTTCCGAATCCTGTACCAAAACGGTGCTTTGATTGAAACATTACAATACCTGGTTTGATTTCCAGAAGACGGTCAGCAAGAGCTCTCTGCTCGGTAGGTGGAACTTTATTGCTTTAAAGTGGATGAGGCACTATTTCTTCATTTAAATACCATAGATGTCGTTTAAGCGCTCTCAACACACTCTCTGATATCTTAGGGTGTACATCAACAATGATCGGAATAGCATGAGATCATTACATGGCGCATCTGTAGCTGAACTGCATGTCATCCATCTGACACTATATATCAGGGTAGAGAAGTTGACAAAATCTCTCACTCTGGCAGTTTGTGCTTTTGTAGTTATTGTGCCAATTGAAAGATCACGAATCTGTCCTTAAAATAGACAGATTTTAATTGAATATATGAGCTTCGCCATCCATCGGGCTTTGTGTAGTGTTCCAGGGCACTTAAAGGTCAGTGTGTGTCCTTCTTTTTCACAATCAAGAAAAATAGTGCACAACTCGACAAATTCCAGATATTCATCTCTACGATAATCTAGTTCCGAATGAGCAAGTTTCATAAGATTTTCTCTACAACGGTCAGTGAACATTTTAGCTTTTTCAGAAAAGGAGGTGGATTCAAACCTTGACAGTCAATCAGCTGGGCGCGATTGAAGTAGCTTAAAGTGTTTACGAAATCTTGTAAACAAAGTGATGTCTGGCAATTTTGAAACTTCGATTTGGAGGTCGGAAAACACAAGAGTTAAGATCGTCTCTCCAACATGATGTTGACACGCATTCCAAAGAAGACATCAACACAAGCATTGCTGAATGGTCACACAAGCTGCAGTGACATGCCCTGTGTTTGATGCAGTTGTGTCAAATGCCATGCAAATGAGTCGGTGCATTTCCATGACTTTAACAGGTCGACTGTTAAATCTGCAATGATATCACCAGATTTTCTATCTGTTCCAGGTTCATATGCTGAAATACCAAGTAGCTTCATTTCATTAGCAGTTCCTACTAGAACAGAGGACGCTCGTCAGAAATGTTTCTGTTGGACATTGATGACATTTGTTTGGAATCCCAGTGCAGAGTTGCGAGATTAGGAGGAATCCACTCATACCTGAAAGATTCTGCAAGGTTCATTCCCACTTTCCGCCTGGATTTATCAGCATAAGAATATGATGCAGAAACATTAGTTGAATCACCTCCTGCTTCCTCAATGAGAGCCTCAGTGTAAATTGCCTGCTGCGCTGGTGTCAAGGAAACTATAATTTATAAAAGACATGGTATCTAATGTTTTTTTGCTTTGATCACTTGTTTGGTCTATAGATTATAAACTTGAATAGGTCTAAAGGCGCAATTATAAAGTTTTGTTTTAGCTTATTAACTAGCTCAATTTTATTTATTTGCTTCCTTTATAAACTGTATAGATCAAAACGAAACAGCGTGACGAATTTGTTTTACATTATTCCAAGCTCTTTATATTTTTAAAACAACTTTGTAGTTTGTTTTAAAGTTGTTTTATAGCTTTTAACAATTAAATACTTTTTTAAATTAACACGTGTTTTAACGTCAGCATGAACGTATTAAACAGTTTTCTTTGACTAATTAATATGGTTAAGATATTGTAATGTTGTTTTTTCTCTTACTTTTTTACTTTTACTTTTTTAAGTATCATGTTAAGTAAAAATATACTTAAAGTAATATCTTAATAGTGTTAAAAACGATATTGCTTATTACAACTGCAACCTAAACTTTAAGTTATAACTTGAGTTGTAAATAATAACAGTAACTTAGGCTATTTTAAACTCTGCCAAATAAAAAATTTATAAGATTATATTTAAATATAAGAGATAATATGTTAAAAATAGAACAATTACATACAAAACTTACCCTTATATACTTACGCAACTTCCCTTCCCCCCTCCCCCGATACCGCTAAGCGGCGCAAGGTATAGGGATGGTGGGGGTTGAGAAATTTTTTTTTGAAATTAGATTTTTTTGCGTTAATTCGAGCCCTGCATATATTATATATTTTTAATTATTATCGAAAAAAAAACATATTTATTTAAAATACTAAAGAATTTTGCATTCGATCTGGTTCTTTCGCTTATGTCAAATTTTTCGTACAATGACAAAATTTCAGATTTGTGGTGGACCCCCGAAATTAGATCAGATTTGTAAAAAAAATTAGCAGAAGTTCATATAACGTCAAATGGAACGTATATATATATATATATATATATATATATATATATATATATATATATATATAAACATATATAAAAACATATATATATATATATATATATATATATATATATATATATATATATATATATATTTTTATATATATATATATATATATATATATATATATATAAGCAATCATTTACAAAAAAAAGTTTTTAAATGCAACCCTCTATCAAAATATATATGGGAAACTAGGGAAAAACTGAAAGAAACCCAAGAATTAACTTGGTCTATCCTAAAAAGCCCCTGCTTACAACAATACAAAATGAAATGTTTACTTTGTTTATATCAAAAACTAATAATTTAATCTTCATAAAAATGCTTCATAAAAACGAATTTGGTTTTAAATGTTGTCACAAAAATAAATTTTAATTAAGCAACCAACAAACTTAAAGAATACACGTAACAATAATTTTTGCAGTATAGTTTCAGTTGTATGTATATTTCAAACAAACAAAATATATTTGTATTTCACCTGATGATTACAACAACATGAAAGTTTTTCACCTAAAGTTGTGAAAATCATGTAGTTTTACTTTCTATTATATATATATATATATATATATATATATATATATATATATATATATATATATATATATATATATATATATATATATATATATATATATATATATATATATATATATATATATATATATATATATATATATATATATATATATATATATATATATATATATAAATATATTATATATATATATATATATATATATATATATATATTATATATATATATATATATATATATATATATATATATATATATATATATACTTATATATATATTATATATATATATATATATATATATATATATATATATATATATATATATTTTAATTATTCTTAAAACAAAAAAGCAAATACTATTACGCCAAACTTTAATCGTGCAAACTTAAAAAAATTCTTAACTGAAATAATTTAAGTATATTTAATAATTTGAATCGTATCTGTTTATAATAAACTATTGTAAAAATTTGTTTATTAAAAATTAAGTTCCTTAACTTATAAACAAACTCAAAAGTATTTTCATTCTACGTATAATTACAAAACTCTTTTTTTTTTTTCATTTGTAAGCAATTTAACTTAATAAAATAAAAAAAAGAATAAATATGAGGTAATCTTTGTTAAGAATAAATTTAATTTATTTATTGAACTATATTTTTATTTTTAATTATATATCAACTTAATTAAAATATAGTAACATGTTAAAATATTTTAACATGACTTGTATTATTTATAAACCATTGGGCAGTTGCCCTTACGGCACTATTGTTTTTGGATATTATTTTATTTTGATGAAGATCACATAACTTACATTTGATTTTAATAACGTAAGTCTTCTCTTTTTCTGTGATCATCGCATCGGCAAAGCATCGGCAAAGTCCCAAGATTTAAAAGTTTTTAAAGTAAATCTTTTGTCCTTCAAATTACAATCCATATTCAAACTTTAAACAATTTAGAGATAATAGAAATATACAAGGTTTTTATATACTAGTTTGTTTTGTTTTATAAAGAAAAATACATATTCATTAGTAAAAAATGGAGACTGTCATTAAACTAAAACGTGCCTTAATATTTATTTAACGGAACCTGTAATGTGCGCGTGCATAATAAAACCTCCGTTATATAAATATATTTAACCTAATATTAGTGTCATCAGCGGATGTTGTAGTCTACTCATGATTTCTTTACCTTAAAATATAACTTGATTTATGAAAAAAATAATTATTGAATCGCACGCAGAAGAATTTTTACAAATTGTCTTCATTCAAATATTGCGAGTAACAGGTAATTTTTTTTTTCTGTGCCGACCCCCTCCCTACGCATAACTTAAACTAAATACCTTTAACTAATAAGAAAAGCAAAGACATTTTTTTTAACATCTCTATTTTTGTTATCATGATAACAAAAATACTCCTTTTTATTAAAAACATTGCAAAAAATTTGTAGTTAAGTATAGACAAACAATTTTTCATGTTGCTAAATATTTGGATAAAAAGTTTAGCGCCAAATTAATTGCTATAAAAAGGAAAGATATATCGCAATGAAAAGTTACAAAAATTATTTTTAAAGTAAATTATTTTTTTTAATAAATATCTTTACATATCGTTATTTAAAAGTTAATGTGGTTTTTTTGAAAATTAATTACTTCTTTTATGTTACCGTTAAACTAAAAGTTAAAAAAAGATAAAAAGTAACTTAACCAAAACAGCTCTAGGCGTACGTAAAAAGCGCTTAAGGCGTACGTAAATTGCTCTAGGCGTAACGCTTTAAAACAAGGCCTGTATATATATAGTATTATGAAAAATTAATTAAAGTGTCTGAAGTTAAATATTTAAGTAGTTAACTACTAATATAAAAATTACATAACTCATCATCAAATTGTTATTGCCATGGCGAAGTTTTATTATTACTTTTTTTATAAGATTGTAATGGGATACATGGTAACATGTAAACCATTACAACCTGTTTTGTGTGCTGTTTCATGTGCTGCTACCTTGTAGGATATGGTTTTTTAGGCCAAGGCTAGGAGATAATAACTGCGACTTAACACGCTCTGTCTTGAGTATTTTGGTTGAATGAAGGCTAGAGATTGTGTCTCAATAGAAATACTCATCTTGGGCAAATATAATTCTTTTCTATTCTGTCTTGTTATCTTAGGCAAATGCATTCAGCTACTGTCTTTTAAAAGGCCTCCTAGGCAATGACTTGAAGAGTAAACAAATTCTATCTGGTGACCAGCTTCAGAATTCTTTTTTATCTATTAGGCTAGCATAGATGAATTTATAATACATTGTTTGCAGTTTAGGATGTTGAATGCTAGATTTTCTTTTTTAATGACTAGGCAACTCATTCTTTTACTTCCTAACAAGAGTACAGCTTTGAAACTCAGTTTTATAGTTCTGAGGCTGGCAAGTTTCTCGAACTCGGTGGTACCTCTCAGTGAAGCTGACTCCATCAACAGCTGTAAAATATCTGAGAATAATTTTTTTAACAAAGGTTATTCTCAGGTCACAAAATCTAATATTTCATCTCAAAAATTAGGATCTCGGGACTTCTGGAGAATCTTTGACAGTATCAACAACAAGAGTAAATCTGTTATCCCTCACTAGCATGTTCAAGATTATTTTTATTGATAAAAAAAAAAAAAGCAAATGCTTTTGCAAATGATTGCAAACCTATGCTTGCAGTAGGTACAAGCAATAAAATTATATGTCCATATTGACAAACACTTTTGAGAGATTCACAAAAGGGTTTAAGATGTGGATGTAATACAGTCTTCAATAATCTTTAATTTAAATTAAATAACTAAACGAGGTACTAATGTCAAAATTGTACCAAGCTTACTTTTATCAAAATACTTTCAACTAATTTCTTTACTTGCAATGTACACAATGAATGAGTTTCTTGTTTGTAATTAATAATGGCTTTTTCAATAATAAAAAAACACTAATCAATGCCACTGAACATAAAAATACTGTTAAAAGTTTTAAAAAAAGGCAAAGAAAAAAATAACATTAAAAAATAATAATGATAGTAAAAAAAGATTACAACATCTAGTAATAAAATAATTTTATTATCTGTTATATATTTAGTTAAATTATCTGTTACATATTTAGTTAAATTATCTGTTATATATTTAGTTAAATTATCTGTTATATATTTAGTTAAATTATCTGTTATATATTTAGTTAAATTATCTGTTAAATATTTAGTTAAATTATCTGTAATATATTTAGTGAAATTATCTGTTATATATTTAGTTAAATTGTCATTGTATTGACATTCTAGGACAAAACTCAAATATTTAAATATTAATTTATAATTAAAAACACCACAATACTTTTTTTAAAAGCCAGAAAAATAACAAAACCATTTAGATAATTTTTTTTTTTTTAATGAAACTTCATTTTCTACAGCATATACTATATTTTTCCTACATATATTTTATACAGTATATATAGTCCAATAATTGCCAAACCTTTTATTAAAAAAAATTATATTAAAGAAGAATTATTAAATTTTCCTAACCTCTCCTTTTGTTCAGTGCAATTTTGTTAACTCCTCTTGAAGTTGATATATTTTCAACTCTTTATCACTGTTAAATGAACTAAATTAAAATTATAAAAATAAAAACATAAAACAACTAAAAAGTGTTTTAAAATTACATTTATAAACTGTTGATTTTTAATTTAGATTGGGGAAATAATTTGAAAAACTATTTCTTTTGTCACTAAAGTTGAGTTGCTGTTTTTAAATTTGAAGTTTTTATTAGCATATAGATTTATCTACATTTACCAAACAGGTAAAAAAAATCACAATTACAAGCTTTAGCAAAAGCTTTATGTCAAGCAATTTCAGAATTCCAAAGCTCAACATTTGTAACTTCAACAAAAGTTCAAGTCTTGAACTTTTGTTTGTTATAGACAATCGCTTTACAAAAATCTTTACTTGCTAGAACATATCTTTTGTATGGAATACATGGAGTATTCTTTTATTTTATTATATTTTGATTTTTTCAGTTGTTTACAGATTTTCTCTTCTTTATAGTTAAATAAAAGATTTTTTGGACATTTTTTAGGTTTCCTTGTATACCACAATTATTACAGATACTTAAAATTTGTACAGACTTTGCATTGTTTAAAGCATCGCATAACAGCTAATAGAGCACTTTTTTGCATGTAATTTTTATTATTTAAAAATTGTAATTCCCAAAATTTTAATTAGAAAAAAATGAAAAAGGAAATAAATTAAAATAGAAAAAAACTGAAAAATTGAAAAGAAAAAAAACCCTCATTTTTCCTAATTCTGAGGGCTGACTATATATATAATTACAAATACTAATATATAATATGATTAGCATAAGTGTAACTCAATGTTTACAAAATAGCAAAGTAATAAAACCCAATGTATAAAAAAAAGCAATAATTTATTTTTTTTATTTTGTTAGTTCACCTCCTCAAGGTCAAGAAAACCACTACAGTCAAGGAGGCTACTTATTTGTGGATATAACCTTCTTTTAACTCTATAACTCAGAAACACGAACCTTGAAGACCTGGTGGGGATCGAACTCAGAACCTCTCGCTTATGAAGCGAGCGCTCTACCACTACACCACTACCGCATATAAGTGCAAACAAGGGCAGGAAGAAACATTATAAGCACTAACTGTAACAACATAACACTATGTATGTAACTATGTAACAACAATACAACCGTAACAACAACTCAAACTAGCCGCTTAAACCATCAGAATTGGCACTGAAGATAAGGCACTTTACCACTAAGCAATTGAAGATGTATGGTTGTATGAAAAACAAACCATATACATTTTTCATACCTATTGCAAATAGTCAACATTTTTCCAGCGGGTACCTCTAAATAAGTGCAACTTCATTGGATAGCATATGTAAATAATATAATAATAAACAAATATTTTATATGCAAATGTAAATTACTGATTGTAACTAAGTAATAATATAGTTAAAAAAAATATTCCAAAGCTTAAAACTGCTTTAATTTTTTTTGAATATTCTTAAGATAAATTTAGTTTAATAAATAAGAAAAATTTTGCATCAAACTGTTAATAAATCAACATTTAGTATAGGCTAAAATAAAATTAAGTTGCTCTTAAAATGAAATTTAAATTTTTGAAATTTAAATTACAAATTAAGTTAAATTCTAATTGGATTTTAATTACAAAAACTTTTTTTATTTATATTCAATAATAAAATCAGGATGCAAATTTTATTAAGTAGAAACTTCAAAAGTGCAACTATTATGCAAATCTGTGGCATAAGTACAAGAGATTTGTGCAAGTGCAAACAACTGGCATAATTGCGTCTAAAAATTTTGCAAATACAGGGATAAACTTGCGTAGGTGTAAATCTTTGTCAATGTAAGCAACAATTTATATATCAAAAGTTATCAAAAAAATTAATTTAAATTGATAAATACAGGTACATTTTTTCAAGATTGCACTTATGCAGATTTTGACTTATACAGATTTTGCATAAGATTTTGGTTTTATGCAACTATAACAGTTACATAAATATGCAGATTCTTAGTTCTAAAACTTGCACTTAGTCAGGTTTGGTTGGGAAGCGGGTGCCATCGCACTCGATAACTGACCACGGAAATAGTATTTAGTTGCAAAAAACCGGCCAGATTTTTTAGTTGTTTTGAGAACATTTCAGTTTATGTATGTTTCCTTGTTTATCCGCAAAATAATAAGTTTTTTTTCACTGATCTCTATAATAAGTTAATATAGAGTTAATATATAATAAGTTATTATAGAGATCAGTGGTTTTTTTTATCGTTAATTTTGTTTTACGGACATACATGGAAACATACATAAACTTGAATGTTCTCAAACATCTAAGTGGGATATTCGGTAACACAAAAAACCCGCCAAATCTACAAACAACTAATTCTAATGGTTCCAAAGATACTAACCGAAATTTTAATCGAGTATTTAATAAATACTAACCGAATGTCCTGAGTTTTATGTTGAAATATTTTGAAAAATTGTATTATTTGAATTTTGTTACTTTTTCAAGAGGTTTCTAGCATAAATTATTTTAAGAATATACTATCAAACTAACTATTATTTTAATTCTTTGAGCCACATCTACAAAGCTTTAAATGTTTTAAACCAACATTATTTGTTTACAATAATAATTGTTTAAAATTTATATTTTTTTAACTTGTCAACGTTTTGTAAATATATTATACATTTTATTAGTATAATCTTATTTTTTATATATAAGGGATGTATTTTTTATGTATGTAATGTATTTTTATGTATGTAATGTATTTTTATCTATGTAATTTTATGTATGTGTATTTTATACAAATGTAATCTTTTAAAGCAATTTGTGCGATTGATTTTGTAAAATACTTACAATAATAACTGCGTTTTCAATGAAGTTATTAATATTCTTCAAAGTTAATACAAATAATTTTAACCACTAATCCATTTTCCTCAGTGTACCCGATAACTGATTCTTTCCCCCAAGAAAGAAAATATTTTTAAGTTCTTAGAAATTGGTTTATTAACTTCAATTATTTTTGCCTCTGCTATTCTTACAAATTCGTTATACTTTAAGTTACTTTTTTCTGTTCTAAATACTAATTAAAATTATAAAACCCACTCACTAAACATCATCAGCGTTATTGTGAAGCAATTCCGCATAAAACAGTTATTGAAAAAACTTTTTTATTTATAATCAAATCATCTAGTGTTAGTTTTATTGGTTGAATCTTGTTGGACTTTTCAGGGCCGGGGGCTGAAAAGTCTAACAAGATTCAACCAGTAAAACTACTACCCCTACCCCACCTCCTCAATCCGCAACTGGAAATAAGACATAAGTATATAAATAAAAATTATATATACTCTGATTTATCGAAGAACATTTGCTTCTTTATAGTTGTTACTTTATATAAAAAATGTCGCTTAATTTTATAAAAAAAAATATAAAAGAGCAACAATTCAAAAGTAATTGCTCTAAGAAATTTATTTTGATTAAAGTTTTTTCGCGTTAAAACCTATTTTCCTTTTTTTAACTGTCTCTTATCGATCCAGTTAATCTTACTGCGCTTTTTTGTTTGTTTTTGAATTGTTCTCAAAACGACTATAAAATCTGGCCGGTTTTTCGCAACTAAATAATATTTTCGTGGTCAATTATTGAGTGCGTTCGCACCCGCTTCCCGACTAAGCCTGCTTAGGCAATTGCCCTTAAAAATAATTTTAAAAAATAAAAAAGTATTTTGTTTGAATTATGTACTCGATTATTCAAAATATTATTTTAAAATATATACTCCAAATTTCTTGTGATTCTCTAGCCTAACGTTTTATCACTATGCTGTTTGTTTGCTTTTTAATTATCCTCCACTAAGGTTTTAAATCATAAAAAAATTTTACAAGTTACTTTGTATTCTATGTTAATTTATGTTAAATTTCAAAATAAGTAACATTTTATAAAGACAAAAAAATATGAAATCAGCTTTTAGTGTTAAATATTCAAACCATATAAATTTTTCATACACTTTGCAAATAGTCCTCACTGCATAAACCTTCTAAAGGTTTATGCAGTGAGGACTATTTTAAATTTACGAACACTTTCTAATAGATGTAAAAAATGTTTTGTAACTTTCTTATCTTAATTAAAAACAGTTAAAATGATTGGGTATACTAATGATGTATTATAAACTTTCTTATCTTAAGTAAAAACATAAAAAAATGATTGGGTATACTTATGATATATTACAAATGTTCCAACTTACTTTTTAACTATGAAAACTCATGACCAAAGTAATAAATCTCACTGAAAATAAAAATCATTTAACTTTAACTTAATTTTTATGTTTTGCCAAAAGCCCTTTTGTGAATTCTTACTTAATGTGTAGGGCCAGCATGACACTGGCTTTTTTCAAATTAAATGGCGACAATAAATGTTTTTCAGCTTTTAAAGTTTTTTTTTAAAAACTGAAAACTATTTTGTTTAAAACATGGGATGGCATTCCAGTGTTAGAGCCATTATAATATTTTGCTACTAGGAGAGCCATTATAATACTTGGCTACAGGGAGGTTTCGCCAGAATTAAAAAAAAAGTGCTTGGCAAAATAATTTGTTTATTAATTCTAATCCCCTGGAATTAGCAAAGATGTAAAAAACTAATTTTCAAAATATTCAAGTCTTTAATTTGTTTGCTTGTATTAACAAATCTAAACAGCAGCATTTAAAAGAACATACCCTCCAACAGCAATTCTTCCTTGCAACTCAAGAATTTCCTTATATATATATATATATATATATATATATATATATATATATATATATATATATATATATATATATATATATATATATATACATATATATATATGTTCTTATTGAGTCTTTCAACTTATATAGCGCTAAATCTTTTTTTTTATAGATAATTTAGATAGAAGATAAATTTTTTTTTATTAAAAAAAACAACAACAACTCATTAGCAACTGCAAATCTAAATTCCAAAACCTCTGAGATAATCAAAAGAAGTTAAAAATATTAAAAAGTTGATTTTAGGTCAAAAGTTTTGACTTTTTTTTGAAAAAAAAGTCAAAACTTTTGACCTAAAATACATTTTTAAAAGATAAAATTTTGGCAATTTTGAAACAAAATTTAGGGACTAAACAAAAAGCATAATACTATATGCAGTAAAGAGGAAGAGTTAGTAAAATAGTAATAGTAAAACTCAGTAAAATAGTTTATTGTAAAAGTCAGTCAGTCAAATATTAAATATTAAAAGTCATTCAGTAAAAATCAGTCAGTAAAATAATAAATATTAAAAGTCAGTCAGTAAAAGTCAGTCAGTAAAATAGTAAATGGTAAATATCAGTCAGTAAAATTTAAAAAAAAAGAAAGTAATTAACACTAAATTTTATTAATTACTTCTATTTAAAAGAACAGAAACAACTGAATAAACGCAGTTAATTAGTGAAATGAGTTTATAATAAATTAAGTAAATTTTATTGAAAATAAAATTTACCTAAGTGTTTTTAAAAAGTCACCTGTTTAAGTTGTTATATTTGCAACTCAAGTTTAGAATTTCTTAATTTGTAAACAGTAAAGCCTCATAGCAATCCTCCATTTATTAAAAGTGAAAAAAAAATTAATTTGCCAAATCTAGTTTTCTAAATTTATTTTATACAAATTAATGATGTAAGCACTTTGAATAAATTTTGTAACCTTTTTGAATAACTTTTAACATTATTTTATTAATTATAATACAGTTAACTATGCACACAAAAAATTACTTAATTATGTTAACTAATTAATTATGTTATTTGTCTTAAAGACCTGTTGACTCTGTTTCCATTACAAAAACTTATATACGGTAATTTTAAGACATTTTGTTTCTGAAAATATTATCTAGTTTGATTCTATTAACTTTGGAACCTATGATTTTTTATTTTTGTTTTTTATCTGATTTCTATAAATTGCAGCTTTAAGCTTTCTTTCTAAAAAATTATTTTTTACTTGCATCCATATTGAAAGTGATTAGCATTTACTGACAAAAAGTAAAAGTTATTGTCAAAAAATCAAAAATAAATTTTTTTTTTACAATTTTAGATTTGATCTGGTGTCAAGCTAAGTAAAGTGGAAAGAAGTGAAAGGAAGTGAAAAAGAAGGATGATTTACATTAGCAGAAAAAATAAACTTACTAAATTAAAAAAATTATATAATTATATAAGGATTTATATAATTATATAAAAACAACCAATTATATAGCTAGATATAGTGCATACTTTTTTTTTAGTTCAAGCTAATGCTTATTCCAGCATAATATTTAACTATTTTATATAAACACAATTTCAATTCGATCACTATTTTTTTTTTTATAAATGGAATTTCTCCTAAAATACATGTTTAACTGAACAAACTTTCAGACTCAACAACTTTTTTATTCTATGCAAAAATAAGGAACACTTGGAACAACAACTTTTTTATGTTTTTTTATTTTGGCATGTTCAGGGATGAGAAGTTCAAAAAAACGCTAAAAAAATTATTTTCTATTTTTACTTAAACTTGGTAATACTGAATCTTAAAAAAAAAAAATTTTAAGAATCACAAAAAAGATTTTTTTAAAAGTTCCTAAACAACTTTTGAGCTCCAATACTCCTGATTCTATGTAAAAATAAGGAACACTTTGAGTTTTATAGGGGTCATTTTTAGGGCATTTTATCTCTGGGCAAGTGACTTTATTTCTTTTCAAACAAGTAATGTTGCATGTAACAAATAAAAATTTAGCAGAAGATTAACTTGGTTTCAAATCTCATAAATAGTATGATTTAAAACTTTAAAATATTTTAAAAACTTAAACAATGGGTTCTTCCATAAAGTACATATGCAGATTTGGAAAAAAAGTGTTAAAAATAGTATGTACATACGCAATTATTTAATTAACTCTCATTCTTTATTCACCTAAAACTTGTTTTTTTTTAAACAAAAACATTGGATTTAATTTTTTTTCAAGTTTAAAAAATCAGCCTTATGCTATATAACAGAATTATGGTGAACTAACTAAAAGTTTTTTTGTTTGTAATGTTTTGAAAATTTGAAGGAGGTGTTGATTTTTTATTAAATAACACTTGTGCAGGTAGAGTTAGGGATGAGTCATCGAAACTATACAGGAAAGTACAATTGGGCAGGTAATTTTGTTTCCATACTAAGTGATCTTCATTAGCATTGAGGTTTATATTTTCAAAGGGCAAAACACTGCAATGATTATTTTATTTGCTATAATTATATTATTAAAACTAAGGTTATGATGCTGATTACACATTTTAAAACCTCATAATTGATAATTGTTATAAATGGTTTTGTACAGTGTAAGTGTATTTATAATATGATTACTCGAGTCTTTATATATAGCTACTTTAGAGGTTTTTAAATTTTCAGTAGGATTTGCAAGAGGTTTTTATTGAGTAAAGAGAGAAAAATTTCATAGTTTTATTGTTGTGTTTATGCAAGAAAATTACATATGACCTATATTAAAAGGCAGCGATCATTATATTAAACTTTTTTCACAAAAGCAATTATATCTAAACTAATTGAAAAACAATTATTTTTGAAAAAACGTGTGTTCTTCAAAAAGTATGTGAGGAAAAGTTCAAGTTGTGAATCAGTGGTAATTTGATTCAAGTTCTTTAGCGATGGGTGCTGTTATTCATTCTTTATTGTTTATGTTACTTTACCAAAGCGAAAAAGGCTTAACAGTCAAGGAGACTACTTTAATTTTCACCTACTTAAAAATACTTTAAACACAACATGGCTTCATCCAACATTCATATAAACATGGCAGAGTTATATGTGGTGATGTGGAAAAATAATAACTTTTAACAATTTTGTGACAGTGTTCCGCTGGTATTCTGATGCACTTACTGGTAAATCAATTTCACAATTAAAATTGGAAAATCTAAATAAAGTCAAAAACGACTGGTAAAATGTAAAATGGAAAATCTAATTAAATTCAAAAACGTTGATCGGGAGAAAAATAAGTCTGCAACAATTAATTAAAGAAAACAAAAAAGTTGACGTAAATTTTGTCCGTTCAAAAAATAACTTAGCTGACACATTTATAAATAAATAATGCAAGATGACAACAACTGTCAAGTTCATACAGAAGTAATGCAATAGTTTGAATATTATGTGGCTTTATCTTATCTCACGTAAAACCCAACATTAAAAGTTTTTATAATGACATTTTTGAAAATGGTGCGGTTCCACTAATCACCAAACCAACCAGAATAACTCAATCAACATCTTCCCTGATTGATAATATAATAACAACTGATTTATTTAACGAATCTCTTAAAAAAGGCATAATTAAAAGTGACATTTCTGATCACTTCCCTGTTTTCTTTTCCATTAATACTAAAATGGAAACGTCATTAAATATAAATCAAATTTTTGTTAAACGTATTTTTAATGAAAAGAATTTGGAAACATTTAAAGAGCAATTGTCTCTTCTTCATTGAGGGCACATTTCCAATTTAGATGATGCTAACCTGGCTTACAACAAATTTTTTAAAACTTTTTTTGATATATATGATGTTAATTTTCCAAAAATCAAAATACATTGTAAATTAAAAAGTATAAAATCCCCATGGATTACTAAAGGGTTAAGAAAATCATCCAAAATCAAACAAAAATTGTACATTAAATTCCTAAAACTTAAAACAGATAAAAGTAAAACTATATATAGAAGTTTTGCCAAACAACTCGAACGTCAAAGAAAAAATCTTAAAAAAAATTATTACAATGATTTACTTGAGAAATATAAATTAAATTCTAAGCGCACATGGGAAGTTATAAAGGTAATCACAGGCAGTTTTAAAATGAACACTCACATTGCCTATAACCATCAAATCAAATGATATATTTTTGTATGATAAAGAAGAGATAGCTAACGAGCTGAATAAATATTTTGTTTCTGTTGGACCAAATTTATCCCAAAAAATTCCTCAAGCAATTAATCCAATAAGTAATCTATTTATCCCTAATACATCGCAATTTAGTTCGTTTGAACTAACTTTTGAAGAGTTTGAATGCGCTTTTAAAATGCTAAAACCCAACAAATCAGCAGGTGCGGATGATATCAATGTAAATATTGTTATTAAATCATATGAAATCATTAAAGATGTACTTTTTAAGATTTTTTCTTGTTCTATTAGGCAAGGAATTTTTCCTAACCAACTAAAAATAGCAAAGGTGATTCTGATATTTAAGGGAGGTGTTTTAACTAATGTTAGCAACTATCGTCGCATTTCTATTCTATCTGCATTTTCAATAGTCTTGGAGAGAATTTTATGCAACAGAATTTATAATCATTTATCTGTAAACAATTTAATATATAGCAATCAACATGGATTCAAAAACAATAACTCGACAGAACACGCAGTTCTCCAGTTTACAAGAAGTATTACTAACTCTTTTGAAAACTCCCAATATACAGTTGGGGTTTTTATTGACTTAGCTAAAGCTTTTGATACAATAGACCACAATATTCTTTTAAATAAACTAAAGATTTACGGTGTAAACGGAAGTGTTTTAAATTGGTTAAAAAGCTATTTAAATAGTCGAAAGCAATTTGTATACGTTGATGTAGTTTCACCAGTAAACTTGCTTGATATAACCTGTGGATCAGTAAACTTGCTTGATATAACCTGAGTTCCTCAGGGATCAATATTAGGGCCTCTATTTTTTCTTATTTACATCAACGATCTCCATAAAGCTTCAAATTTAATGACGATTATGTTTGCAGATGACACGAACTTATTTTTATCTCATAATGATATTACATTGTTATTTCAGAATATCAATAATGAACTAGCAAGAATTTCTGATTGGTTTAAGACAAATAAACTGTCTCTTAATATTGATAAAACGAAATGGATTTTTTTCCATCCTAATCACAAAAAAAATTTTATACCAAATGAAATGCCACTGCTTTTATTGATAATATACTTCTAAAAAAAGTAACAGTTACAAACTTTCTTGGTATTTATATTGATGAAAATTTGTCATGGAAAAGTCACATAAAAAATTTGAGTAGTAAAGTATCAAAAAGCATAGGAATTTTGTACAAAGCGAGGTGTTTTTTAAATAAACATACATTACTTAAACTATATTATTCGCTCATTCATTGTCACATTAACTATGCGAACATTGCGTGGGGTAGTACTAATAAAAGTAAACTGGAACCTCTTTATCGTCAACAGAAACATGTTGCACGCCTTATTAGTTTTAAGGATCGATTTACTCATGCCAAGCCTCTATCAATTGAAATGAAAGTCTTAAATATATATGAGCTTAATATCTTTAACGTTATATGTTTTATGTTTAAATGTAAAAACAATATTTCTCCTGTACCTTTTCATAATTTGTATAACAAAAAAGAAAAAACTAAGTACATTTTACGAAATGATAATAATATTCGTCAATCAGCTTATCAAACTAATTTTGGAAAATACTGTATTTCATTTCGAGGAGCATTACTTTGGAATAAAAAAGTTTTAAAGAATTTTGACTTTTCTCAAGAAGTTAGCTATCACTCTTTCAAACAAAAACTTAAAAAAGTCATTTTTTTATTA